GTGTGTGTGTGTGTGTGTGTGTTTTTTGATTATTTTCATAATGGTAAAATAATTTAAAGGAATGGGGAAGAACAGTACTATTAAACAAAGTACATTTTAATTCTATATTCAGAAAATTTTATGTGCCACTCTTCTTTGACACCATGACATCAATATACATTTTTTGCAGATTGCCTTTTGACAACAGATTTGAACCTATTCCAACAACAAAGTTCACTTAACTTGTTGAAGGTGATTCTCACATACATTTGGGAAATCTATTTAATGACGCAGCTTTGTAATCAATTTCACACTTGAAATGCTTAAGGCAAATCAAGGACATTAAGTTGTTTAGATCATTTACAGAAACGAAGATAATGTACTGTATTTATATTTCCACCTTTTGCTCCAAGTATATTGTTTCATGTAAATCCAAACTCCTCTTGCTAGATTGCAGCTAATTTTCATATAAAAGACTTTAGCCTGCTGGTACACAGCTTGAGTCAGAAACCAAGTCAAGAATAGGACGCTTACCGATTTATACCTGTTTGCATAAATCTATTGTTATGATCTTGAACATGTTACAGGTTAAGAGACACGGTATTCCTTCTTTGACCTGAGATTGCATCTTTGCAATAACACAACTCAGTATGAATAAACAGTAACCATGGTTCATATTCATCAAAATCAGAAAATAAACAGTTGTTAAAAATCAACCTATAATTTAGAGAAAATATTAAAATAGATAAGAGGCAAACAAAATAAACCCAACCCCTGTTTCCTCTCACCATCTTGCCAATCATCATCACATAGGGACCCAGGTACTTGTTGACCCCGAAGATGTCAAGAAGCCTGATGTACCAGTAGATGATGTTGACACAGTATATGACCCGCCCATAGCTCATGAGTGGCGGTTCCTGGAGGCGCAGGACCATGCCAACGGAGAAGATGAGGATGGCCATCAGATCCGTTATATTCCAATACTCTTGTAGCCACACCTTCACCTTCTGAAGCAACTTTCCCGGTTCAGACATCAGGATCTAGAAAACAGTGAGGACTTATGGTCAAATAAGGCTTATTATATAAAAGGTTCATAAACATTAAAGCAAAGAAACAGGACAATGAAAGGAGACAAAAATAATCCAAATAGTAGACTAGGAATGCAAACCATCGAGATCAGCACAAGAGGGCAGTATGAGCTCACAACTCAGAGTATTTGACATCTGAGAAAGCTTATAAACAGTAGAGCTAAAAAAATGATGTGACACAATGATTTATACATTCCATAAACTTAAAAAAGCACAGAGTGTAACTGAATTTAATGTATGATATGTATTTTCTATTTATTCCTTCTGTTTTTTTTCTTCATTTCTATGCCCTGCTTTCGTCTTTGTCACCATCCGGCTCCATTTTTGCTCTGCTTTGATGTGCTTTTTACCTCCCTTTCAAAGCTCCATCACTCATTTCTTTCAAATAGAATAGAGAAGAAATATCTTTATTGTACCTCATGGGGAAATACAGGTGTGACAAAGGCAAAAACACACAGAAGAAAGCTTATAAAGGCACATAAGACTAAATGATATAAAACTGAACTTTTTTCTTTCTTTCCCTATTATTATTTTATGTACAAAAACAGGAATTTTACTTATCAAAAACTGTGAAATGAAAAAGACAAAAACATTTGAAATTCGCCCTTAGTAAAGGATGTAACTAATTAAAAGCTTAGTGGATTTGTGTATTTTATATTCTTCTTCCTCTTCATCATATATTTCATTTTAATGTAAGCATTGCATCAGAACCATTATATATTACCTCTCTCATCTTTTCAATGCCATTAGTAAAGATGTAAGCAATGACAATCCACTCTTGAGGAGAAGGCCACAGGTCCATCTTGACCAGGACAATGAAGTTAAACAACATTAGGTATCCAACATACGCCATCTGCATGAAAGTAGAGATGTAGAAGTAAAATGAGTGGTGTCATATTCTGGTGAGAGGTTTGTTCCAGTATTTTTCATCAAGCTGAGCAGAATACATCAAAACAACATTAAACTGTATAACATTTCTTTAAAACTACAGTAGGGAAGTTACTGTAGACTTAACAGGTACAATTCAGGGAAAAAAACGACTAATATTGCATACGGTGTAAACCTGCAGTTTGGATAAATCGTAATAAGTAATTGGGATCATCCAAAAAGAAAGAAAAAAGGCAGAAAACAAACACTCTATACACATGCCATAACTGTTTATGCTAACAACAAGATTCCCTGAAGTGGAAGTTGTCACAGTGTGTAGAAAACTGAGAAGACAATCTCCAGGGTCAGAGTGTAAGGTGCAACAGAAAACATGAGTCCCCTTGGAAGGAAGCCATTTTTCTACAGAGGTGAGTTGGTTGTTTATACAATCTGCTACAAAAGGTAATAAGATGTCATTAATAGAAACAGTTTTTGTTTTGTAGTCTTTCTGAGAGTTCAGTTCTGTCTCTTTTAAGACATGTTAGATTAAGTCATGTCAGACCTATTTCACCTGCTTGAACTAAACATTATTTATGTTAATTCTACCAATTTGCAAATATCAGTCCCCAAAACAGATTAACATCTGAAAATCTTAATAATTTAGGTTTTTATTAAGCCAACTTTGAAAATAAATAAAACTGATTAAAAAATGTTTAGTTGTTTCTCTCCGTAAATAACTTTGGGCTTTGCTTGCTTTCTTTCTTTCTTGCTTTCTTTCTTTCTTGTTTTCTTTTACTTATATTATTTTTAATATTATATATATATTATATTCATATCACTATTATTTTTATTTGTTTTCTTAAAAACAGTGGAAATATTTTTCATACCTAAACCAGATCAACTGATCTTGATTGATTTTATTTTCTCATTAAGGCTCCTACAGAAAATAATTTAATTATTTTTAATGCTTTAATATAACCACACCTCAAAGACACCACAATGTCATTAAAAAGTGAAATAATGATATTCAACACAATATTCAGTTTTAAAAGAACTTTCAATACCAAATGATAAATACTTAAAAAATAAGACAGCTACAGTATGTCTCACATGTAAATTCTAAAAAAAAAAAAAGAATTTTGTAGAATTTTGAAGAGTTTGTTATTTAAGTAAAATTTTAAAGCCTTGAATAACTAGCAATTCATATTTTCAAGCTGAACTTCTCAGCCCAGAGGTAATCAGAGAAAGTCGTAACAAGCGTTAAATGTCTTTTTGTCTTTTTTAGCAGTATCCTAATCTTTTATAGCAAAACTTATTGAGGAGACTTTGCAAGAAGTGCATGTTTAAATGCAGATGACCAGAAAGGGCCTTATTTACTGTGCCTGTAAATGAAAGCAAAATTTATATAAACAGGAAGAGCTTATTCTTTAGCTACAAGTCAAGGTTGCGCTACTGTAAGTCACCTAAGTGGTTGCAATAAAGGTGACAGAGACTTGTCTTATTAACTCCAACATGCATGAAAAACTCTGAGCCTGATTATTAAAATATGGCAGCGCTCCACAGTGCTGTCATATTTGTGACAGGTAGGAATATAGATCGCATAATAAGGTGAAGACCACATTCTGTGAGGAAAACAGCCATCAGCTCTAATAGCACAATAACTCAGATATACTTTGCATTATACTTTAACATCCATGACAGGAAAAAGAGGTTGGTGAAGGGGAATAAAGAAGGCAGAATAAAAAAAATAATGCAGTGTTTAAACATGTTTTCCAAAACAAATAAAGAGGAAAAAACCCTCCTGGTGCTGAAAAGATTTTTCCATTGAATGAGCAAATTGAAGGAATCCAAGCATAGGAAAACAAAGAGTCAGTTTGTAGAAAATATTATGCACTTGCTCACAGCCAGAAACAACACCAAACACATGTTATAAACAAAACTCAAAGACAGCAACAGAAGCAGAATCCTAAACAGGTTCTTCTTATTGTCGTAACCATCTGATGGTAATTTAAATGTTTACTTGAGGAACAAGAAGCTTTATGTTTAACATTTTCTAACAATAAAATAGCAGTTTTACAGTAAGTGACTGAATTTTCCTCCCTCCTTCTCATTTTCTTGCTGTTTCCAGGAGTCTCCCCCTTCTCACTTAACTTTAACACCTCTGTAAAACTGCCTAATGACACTGTGGAACAGGAGCCTGATGACAATGGAGGTTGTGTGAGAAAGTAGATGTTACTGGCCAAAAACTTCAGCTGCATAGTCAGCAGAAACAATTTCCACAGGAGAATGTGGGAGGTGTTGCTGAGGCCGACACTGACCGTATGAAACCAGAACTTGACGATCGGAGCATTGTAGAACTCGTATATCTTTCGTCCCATGGGGATAAGACGGTGGCGGCTCTGGACCTCCTCAACATCCTTCTTTCTGGATGTCTCTGTGGTTACCTTACCCAACATTGCCTGGGTGAATGCGGAGCCCACACGGAGCGAGAGAGGGATGAGGGAGGGGAAAGTGTGAGGATTTCAGGAAAGATGAGTGTGGGAAGGAGGGGAGTGAGGTGGATGGAAATGAAGAGAAGATGCAAAAAAGAGCATAGGGGAGGAGGAGTTTTTGGAAGAGAGGAGGTGGAAAAAGTAGGGGTTGGATAAAAGAAAAAAAAAAGGTGGAGAAGAGGGTTATATCATGAGCAACAGCAGTTTTTTTGTTTTGTTTTTCATATCGCAATTAAAGAAGCAAGCGCAGGCAATGCTGTCATTCCAAAATGTGAAATGTCTGTGTGAGGTGGAGTCCGAGTGAAGGCTGGCATAGTAACACGGTATGACAAGGACACAGACACTCATGGATTGTGTCTCAGACAACAATTAGGAGGCAGGAGACAGACAAAGAGATAGAGACAGGAAGAGGACAGAGTTAGAAGAGGAAAAAGATCAGACATAGATATCTCATATAGATCTGTGACACATTTTTATCCATGAGAGAGGGTTCAGAGCCCACTGTTTTTTAATGGGTCATGGTCTTAATGTAAAAGCAACACCATTTCTCTGAGGGAGCTTATCCTCAAAACTTTGCTCTAAGTGTAAAGGCAACTCTTAGTAATCAGAAGTTTACATACAACCTGTACAGATATGAATGCCATAATATTTCAAAACGTTTAATGATTTATTCTAAAAGGTACATTTGTATGGATGTTGACACTCAATGTAAAAAAAAATTAAAAATATAAATTTAATATAGATTTTGTTTATTTAAAAATGAGGGGAACAAGATTAAATATGGGCTCAAAATGACAAATCCAGAAATATTTGTTTGTGTCCATTAGGACGTTGCTAAACCACTATCATTAAGCTATTAACTGTCTACTGGAAAAATTCTCTAATGCTTCTCTACTTTTATCGAAATGTAAGAATTTCGAGAGTACCAGTGTAATTGGTTGTGAAAACCACCATCAACATAATCCTGTCGTCATAATGGCTGACAGGAGATACTGTGTTCTAAAATACTCATACTGTAATGTTCTATCTCTGCATGTCTTCATGCATACGATAACAGTAGATGTAACTGATGTCGGCTGCCACAGCAGTTATATGTTTGTTTTGGAATGTATCAGATCCACTTTAATTTTCCTATGTCTGCCCTGCTCTTTGACTAATCTGGTCTTTAGAAAAGTTTTCCTGCATTGTTCATCAGAAATATACTTGATCCCTATATATGAAGGATGATGGGGGAGGGAAAGCCCTCATGCTGCAGGTCCACGCAGCCAGTTTAAGTACCACTATGACTGTAGAACTTATGTTCAGCAGATATTGGTCTGTCCATTAGGTAAGCTTTAAATTTCAGTAATACTTCAAGGTACATATTTGGAAGCAAGACGTTTATTGTACGGGTTGCAAATATCTGTGTCAAAGCATGTTGTATTAATAGTAAAAAGTCAGTTGTTGCCTTTGACACACATTGCATGTGGAAAGCTGAAATTCGCTCAGACTGGACAGTTTTGTTATTAGTGTTTGCACACAGAGTGCACAGTAAGCCCCAAGCCATATCCACAGTAATCCACAGTGTAGATTAGCTGGCACATAATTTTATTCAGGGCTGCATGATGGAGTTCGAGCATTGCTGTCTTGTAGCAATAAGGTCCTGGGTTCTATTCCTAGCCTTAGAATGTTCTGCATATAGTCTGTATGTTCTCCTGGTGCAGGCGTAGGTTTTCTCCAGTTTGGCTTACTCCCACAGTCCATTACTTTCTGGTTGATTAGAGTCTCTAAACTGCCCTTGGCTGTAAATGTGTGTGCATAGTTGAATGTCTCTGGGCTTTGGTGGACCGACCTGTCCAGGGTTTAACATGCCTTAAGCTTATTGAGTCCTGGAGACAGGCACCAGCCCCCCATAACCATGACAGATGAGCGGAAGATAGAGGGATGGATGGAAATCAAACTCACTTTATTTTAGACAGGGATACCTGTTGTTAATGGGTTATCATACTGTAAAAACACAACAAGGGAGCATATTACTATTGTCTGTTTGAGAACCATGGCCTTAACCTTTGAGGAGCTGACAATCATTTGGCCTGGAGTTCCAGGGCAGGTTGTGGGTTATTGGATGACCTTCACATATATAACAAAAGTGAGATATTGAGGATCCCAATTAGCCTCGTGAGACCATCCTGATCTCGCGGGCTTTCAAGATTTAACTCGCTAATCAGTCTGGAGACTCTCCGTAGAAGAAAATTTGGAGCCGTTCATCAAACGAACGTCCAATCAGCGTTGGCTTTGAGGCGGGTTGAGGTGTGACGCAACGAGAAGCGCGACAGTTCAGTCTAAAGAACATGACGGCTTCAGCTGATGAAACTAGCGCTAGCGTGGCTATCGAGCAAGTTTTGTTGGAATTACAGAGTATTTCTTCACTGAAAGAAGAGCAAAACACTGCTCTGGAGTCTTTTCTCAGAGGAAAATATGTTTTTGCTCTTCTCCCGACTGGTTTCGGCAAGAGTAGCCTGGCTGTACGTCATATGCTTCGTTGATCTGATTGGTTTATTTGGCCCGTCTATCACCAACATAGGCCAATCAGCTAACCAGTATTTTCGCCCCTTCCCAAAATTACTTCAACCGAAGGTTTCCAGATGGATATGCGGAGCAAATCCATCTGGGGGAGTCAGGTTAGATCCCAATGCAGACAAATCCCTGTCAACGACTACACCTCGAGATGGACTGCAGCAAATACTTCAGCATTTGGTAATTAAAGATCTGCATTATCCATAAAAGCATCCCTGGCACCCACTATACCCTCAGCTCCCCTCAAAACTTGGACATCTGCTTTGTCAAAATCCAACAAACTCAGGAACGCACTCCTATTACACCTTCCCTGTTATTTGCTGAACATAAGAAACAATATGTTGTTGTTAAGGTGACAGTTTGTGTCAGAATGTTGAAATTTGGACAAAAAAAGTACCAAAAAGACTAACGTTGAGGCTAACTGTGACTTTAAAACCTATGTAAAAACCTATGGACTATAACAAAAGATTTGATTCATGCCAGGCCTGTTACCAAATGGGCCAAAGTTATTCCACTTCTTATTCTTTACTTAATACCAGGGGTTTATCAATGCCTTAAGCTTGTGGTATGTTTACAACCTCTGTAGAAATTTGTATCGAAATATTACAGTAGGTATATATATAGAATAAATAAAATGTGCACATTTGAGCCTGTGCATGTAGTTCAACCCTGAGAGGAAAAAGTCAATGCCCTTGACAAAGAATAATTTACATGCATTTTTAAACTCTTGAAAATATTATGACATTCATGCTGACAATGAGTTTGTCTTTAAACCAAAAGTTTATGTTTGAGAGCTGACCCTAGTTTTCAACATATTGTGTAAGAGCTTAAACAAATCAGAAGGTTATTGAGGAATCAGCCTAAAATCAAAGAACATGTGCCTACATGTTTGTACGTAGTGACATTTTTCTCCCAAATGTGTGAAACACTGTTCTATTCCAGGCACACTCCCACTGGAATTTTGACAGAAACAGATACAAGTGCCAGTGTGTAAATCACACCATGCCTTTTCACCAACCAACATGCTCATTACTCATTCAGTATGTCACACAGGCTTTTAACTTCATTACAGGGTGATTTATCGAAACTATCTGAGGATACAGGAATACAATCTCCCTCTGTGGTGTAGCAGTTGGTGTATGAATCTGTCTGCGATTCATAAGAATCTGAGGGTGTGTTTGAGCAGTCAGAAGCCAGGGCAACAAAAGGAAATCATTACAAATGTATTATCTGGCAACATTTTGGTTTTGTTTTGTTCAATACCAGAGAGTCTTAGGGCTTTAAGTAGGTCTAACAAGCCCATTTTGTGAGCATTTGCACTGGCTTGCTGGCTGCCTTAGCTGTATGCAGATGGAAAGTATGTAGAGCGGTGCTGAAGATGAACAATTTCCGTTTAGTCACATCTCAAAATGATGACTTGATCCAGTTTGGGGATTTGAAACTGCCTTTCAAATCCCGAGTCATCTTTTGGAGGAAAACACAAACTGGTTCAGGGAATCATCACCAGACAAACTGAAACAGAACGGATCCTATTCCTGCTGTACATCCATGTCTGTGCAGATGGACCAACTCTTCCACTGTGAGCTGGGAGAATGCGCTCAGACTCTGCATGATTAAAGCCCTGCGGTATCTGGCAGACACAGTTATATAATGCAAAAGCCTGGGCCTCCCATGCTCAGCAGCTGACATGCTGAGTGGTGTGCTGCAGCAAACCATCACTGATGGGAGAGAGTGAGGGGCAGCAATCGGCTGGCATACAGTACTGTACCTCAATCAGACCTAAGTTTGAAGGGGGAAAAAAGAAGATATAGAGAGGAAGAGCGAGAGAGAAGGAGTATTTGCAGGATATAAGGGAGAAATAAAGAGAGAAACAAAGAGAAAGCTTGGAAAATAACAAGAGGGCAGAAAGGAAGAGAAGGATAGGGGAGGAAAACATGAGGGAACCCACATTCGGCGACAGACTGAGACGCTACAACTCCACACCAAGTCTTTGGTAAGACAACGAGGAACAGGAAAGGCTGATTTTTACTGGAACTTTTCAGATGGCCAGAATAGAGAAACATTAAGTGTGTGGAGAGCACTGTGTGCATGTGCATGTTCCTTTCTCATCGTGGACAATGAGAACAAAAATGGGTCCATAAGAGATATTTAGAAGGGCCCACTGAATGTGGACGGTGATCAGTAATAGACCAAAACAAAGTGTGTTTGTATATATTTGTGTTGTCTTGTTTGAATATGTGTATAATTTCTGTGATGCGGGGCTGAGGTGGGTTCTCTCACCACGGAGTTGTACTGCGTCTCACAGTAAGATCTTACTGTGAACTCCATGTCCTCCTCCTCTTTTTCCTTGACCGGCTTCTCAGGCTCCTCCTCTTCTTTCTCCTGCAGGTAAGTGTCCTGATCTTGTGGCATGTAGGACATCTCATCCTTGTTTTTAAACTCCAGACTAAGGATGGAGGGTGGAAGAAGCAGACCTAAGATGACCTGATTGATGTGGGAAAAGTTAAAAAAAGGTTGGAATGAAATAACTTGATTTCATAACAGCAACAGTGACAAACTTTTGCAAAGTTTTCATACATTTAAATGTAATACGTTTTATGTAACCAAACAAGAAAAGAAATGCAATATTTATGAAACATATGATGCTCATTTGTCCTGAGGTTAATACTTTGTGTACTAACTTTGTGAAACCACTTTTTATCTTTACCAGCATTGCATATATTATTGACAAAATACATATAACTTAATAGACAGAATGACAAATTTTTTAAAAGACTTTTAATGTCTTACCATAGATCCTTAATTGGATGTAGGTCTGAACTTTGACATTCTAATGTGCCTTGATATAAACTATTGTCATTTTTGCTTTTTTTTGTTTGGCAGAACGTCAAGTCTTTGCAACCTCAGGATTATTTTTCAGCTATGGACTGTACTGTGTTAAACAGACGGCCTGTTTAGCATAATCCATCCTTTAATCTATTACGCTGGAAAAAAAAAATGCAACCATTTTTTGGCATTCACATAATCATATTTAGTTACTTTAACACAATTGTTTCATGTTAACAGAGTAGGGCATAAAACAATTGTGTTAAAGTAACTAAATATGATTAAGTAAATGCCAAAAGCAGTTGCTTTGTTTTTTTCAGTGCTTCTGTACACCTGCAAAAGAAAAGCACCTTTAGAAAACCATCATGTTTCACCATGGGTGTTGTGTTTTTAGGACAATCTGCAGTTGTTTGCTTTCCAATATGCATATCCTTTTGTATTTTTTTCTTACAGAAAATCTGTTTAAGTAGAACACATTCTTCCTCATCTTTTTTTGTGTTGCCTTTATTATTTGTTGCTAACTTTGAACATGGTTACTTATGGTTTTCTTTTAACATTTCCTTGTTTTTCTCGTGTATCTCCCATTAAGGCTTCTGAAGTTCATGACTACAAGATTTGCTTTTGACAGATTTCCTACCTCATTTGTAAATGCACCTGTCAATTTCAATTTTACATTTTTTTTAATAATAAAACAAACAAAAAATGTATTAACTTAACCCAGTGTTGTTTTTGACACTCATCTTAGTCTTAAGGATGAAAACTATTATTAGTCATAGTTGCATTTTAGTCATTATAATATGTGATAGTTTTAGTCAGTTTTATTCGACTAAAACTTAAAAATGTTTAAGTCTAGTTTTATGTTGCAAAAAGAAAAGGGTAACTTTTAAAACTTCGAATAATAACCGGATTCCTTATCAGACTGACAGCTCTCGCCTAGATACAACAATTGCTGGGTACAGAATGCTGCTGTGCAGTTCATCATTGTTGTTGGGCAGAAAACTTTGATTTATAGAATTCAAATAAACTTTTTTTAATGAATTAATGCCCTACTTTAAAAATAAGTGTCTCACAAAAGTTGTGAAAATAGCAGATCTAGTTCAACACATCATATTGATTAATATAGCAGACAGAAAAGGTAAGAAAATGTACAATAAAGAAATGGTTTTAGACATACAATGTTTCCATTCAAAAGCAATTATGCATTATACACAGATCAATAAAATCTCCATTGCTCCAAAAAATCAATGCACAAAAACATTTTTCTTTTTACTTTGACAATTTTGGCTATTGCAGGCTAACAAACAACCTAACGACTGCCCATTCCTAAGGGGCGGACCTGTTCGTCCGGTTCAATTTGCACGTTTTCTAAGCCAAAAGAAGGCTTTGTTTTTGGTCCACTCTATAAAAGCCTTGAACTCAACACTATTTCTGACATTTTCAATTGAAAAAGTCCAGTGGATTGTTTTTAAAGTTTTTTGGAATGACTATAACTGTCATGATCTGGCCTGTTTGCTCTCCCTTAATTAGTAATTCCCCTCACTTGCCCTCTTCCTTCCCTGCCTCAATCATAATTTATTCCTCTCACCTGTTTCCTGTGGTTTATATTCAGTTCAGCCTGAGCATTCAGTGCCAGATCATTGCTTGTCTTTTTGTTAGTCTGTCCAGTTTTATTTGGTTCATGTCCTGGATCCTAGCTGCCAGTGGATAGAGGGTTTTAGTGTTTGTCTCATCTCCTGATCGTCCACTGTTCCTCCCCCGCGGAAGTCTGGATCCTGCCACCTGTTTCTGTTCCTGTCTGTTCTGGATCCCTCACCAGGATCAGCTTCCAGCATAACCTCTGGGACTGCAGCACTGGGGACACTCGTGGTCTGGACTGTTAAACCAGGTAAGTGACCTTCACAGATAATCTCCTATCAGTTGATCGTGGTCACTTACCTGTGTTTCTCCCCCAGAGTGTCTGAGACTGGGCGGTGCCGCGAGCCACAGCTCCGCTTTTGTTTGGTTTTAATTTTAATAAACCTTATGAACTTTCCTACTGACTGTCTCTCCTGAATACTGGGTCCATCTGTCCTCGGTTCATGACAATAACTTGGATGACTTAGAATCTTCACCATCACAATGCATATTGATCGTCTGTCCGACCACCTGCAAATTTGTATTTTGTCTCATCTTGTCAATAAAAACTAAAACCCATGACTAATCACATTTTCATAATCAAAGATCCATATTTAGTTAGTCAGTTTTCATTATCGTCATGAAAAAAAGGAGTGTAAATGAAATAATTTCATAATCGCCATCGTTGACGAAAACAACACCTTGCATTTAGCAAACATATCCTGCCCACTGTTGGTCTTTCCCAAAAAATTGCAATAAAATACATTGAAGGTTGTTGTTTTAATAAGAAAAAATGTCAAGGTAATCACTGGTTGGATTTGGACATGGTAAAAAAATATGTAAACAAGACAACATTCATTTCATTGAAAGTCAGCATTGTAAAGATTATTTTCATCATGCACATGCCTGCCTGCAGCTGTGTAGCAAACCTTTGTTATCAACCGGTCAAAGGCACTCTCATAGAGAAAGTCAATTATAAAAGCCTGATTTCAAACAGCCAGGATGATTACTGTTCTACATCAGCTCCCGAGAGAAACACCAGCATTAGTGAGAAGAGGCACAAATCCTGCTTCTTTTGTTTAAAGACAAGAACAACACATGTTCAGTAAGGAGAGTGTAGGTTATGGGAAGAAGAAGGTGAATACAAACATAATCAAGTTCCCTTTTTCTATCTGCTACCAGCTGTGAACACCTGTATACATTTTTGAGTATTTAGCTTTTGCTACATTCAAAATCTTTTATCCAGTTAATGACATGTTAGTATAACAGATTTTAAAAAAAGAATATAGACGAGTATCTTTGAAACTATAATTTTTTTTATTTTGCATTTGCACTTTTTTTTCCAATTAAAGGGTTAAAGCAAATATCCTATCAGACCTATTCTAGTGTAAAGAAAGATGTTTGCTAAGTATTTTAAGTCACAGTCCATTTAGAGACTCATATTCTGAGTGGGGGGTTCAGGACAGCTGTCCTTTCAGGCAAAATAGCTAAATCACATGCAGAGTTGGTTTTTTTGACAATGTTTTGACATTCTTATTTCATCATAAATTCCTAGGGGCATTAAACCCTGTTTGTTCAACTTGTGGTTTATTTCAGTTTGTCTTTCAGCTCCGATGAGTTTGTCTTAGAAGTGCGCGCTTCACCTTCCTCCAGCAAAGGCCAAACAATATTTACTGAACTGCAAAGTCTGTCCTACTCTGGAGAAAAAGCAGGCAGAGCGACCCATTCTATAGTCTCACTTCATTTGTCATGTGGATGAGTGTGAACCCACACTTCAGCAAATCCTGAGGCAATTATTCATCATAAATAGCTGTAACCTTTATGGTTCGAGGCTGCCATGTGTCACCCAAACACCAAACATCTGCAGAACTCACACAAGCAAATATTGGTCCAAACTTAACCATTGCTTTTCGATTAAACCTCTAAGACATTCAGCACATTAGCATTAATGGACTGTGATAGGACGTTCTTCTTATAATTAAGGTCAAGCCATTCATGTACTCTGACTTACAGACTTAAACAAAGTGCTTAAATGCAAGACGACTCAATCTGGTCACACTGTTTAAGTGTTATCCACTGATAAGAATCTTTCCTCTGCCTGAGCCCATCCGGAAATTCATAACAGCTTAACTGCTTTTATAATATGCATTTAGTATAAAATTAATTTAAACCTTTGCTTGTGATATATCTATAAAATTAAAAATACTATGAAAGTAACTGGGAACTGGTTATTTTATTTTCGATCAGTTTCCTATTATGAAACCCACTAACTGAACCTTAGTTTGCAAAATGCAAAATACACTGGCATATATATGCCAGTGTATTTCTGGAAAATCAAAAACAACAAACAGGTTAAAACAAAACTTTTCAAACTCTAGCAATGATTACAAACCACAGACTAGCAATCTGTGATTTAATCAGAGCACCAATAGATGGTGGTAAATCTTTCACACTGTCCCTTTAAGTTGCATTTGTTTGAATATTGTGGCATTGGGGAACAACTTTTTAATATATCCCAAAGGATTGTGGCATTTTAGCTTCACTCGAGTTAAATGTACATCTTACAGTGCCTGATGCAAAGAATGGTGGTGCTGCATAGTTATTTCGTTAAACCTAATTTTTTACAAACTGATAAAAATCCATGGACAAATCACAATAATACGAGTATGGTAATATGTCAAACTTGATTATTATTTAAATTCTATTTTTCTATAAAATGTGTGCACCTTTCATCTTACCTTCAGGCCTGAATTTTTGCGCATGCGGAGTCGCCCCATCCACATATCGGTCAGCAGCATTTGACTGCAGGTGTGAGCGATGAAGTCTCTGTGTTTTGCTGCTACCGCCAGCTGCAGACAGGTGGCATTGCTCCAGTTTTTCAGTTCATATGTCAGTAACTTCATGGCCATCTGTTCATCCTGTTTATAGGACTGATCTAGGAGCTCCACAGCTAGCTGGCCAAACTCTCTATGAAAATACATTGAAAAAATAGAAAGACGGTAATTTACTAGGTCCAACTGTCCAAAAGAAACCAATTAAGAAACACACAGACCTTTTTAGACATAACATCAAAACAATATTACATTCGTATATGTTTTTACCACCGACAATACTTTAAATTCTTTAGTTGTTTTTGCCAAAAACCTATACTTTTGGTGTTTTACAGAATGATCTTCCTCACAAACATATGTCAATGGTAGGCCTATCACATGTTTTCATATCTGCATGACTGGATTATTGGAAAATCATGCACAAACTGATCTTTATGTATTCACACATATCCTAATAATCCTTATGAATTCTGTTCCTTGAGCCCTATTCTCTCCCTGTCCTGGACAAATGAATCGCCATCTCCATCCTACAGTATGTAGGGCGGTGATAACCAGCAGCCTACATGAAGCACCTACCTTAAAATGTGCTGCTCTTGCCCTGGAAAAAAACATCCACTTTCTTTAAGGCAAGTGCTGATATAAAGCACAGTAAAATTATTTCTCAAAGTTTGGATTAAGTGACTTTTTACAGCTAATCCTCACAGTGACCACCTCTGTTTTTTTTAGCTAATGTTTAAGAAGGAGAAAAAGTGTTTGTAGTTGCAAAATTGATTGGTTGAACCAGAGTCAAAACAGCAATTTTAAACTTAAAAGGGAAATCTCCTTACACAACTTAAAATAATTTGTTCCCAAAGGTACACAAGAAAAGGCAGACAAGTTAAAGTTACAAATAGTATCACAAGAATGCTAGAAAACAACAATGTAGTCAAAACTTAAATAACATCAATAAGTGATGGATGATGAAAGCCACAAGATTAAATGTGTTGGTTAGTTTGTCAAGCTTTGCTGTCTTCATCTTCACCAGATCTTTGCCCCTATCTATGCACTTTGGGAGTTATTGAAGTTCTGCCAGAATTTTGGCTCTCTCACTTCATATTAAAACTTATATTAAAGCAGCTAAATAACTGAATGGGGTTACAGAGATATAAAATGGTGTCATGGAGTGGGGGTGGGGATGGGGGCATATGGCTTATTGTCCTCTTGTGTCTAATACTAAGACATTAGTAGAGACACTTTAATTCCATGGTTCATGGAGAAGGCCTTCTGGGGCCAGGCAATAACAGTTTTTTTTTTTCTTTTATCTAATCTACATTTCAGTTAGAGTGACATTCTGATTGCGTAGATAAGACAGGAAAAAACTGGAGTAAAAATGCCTGTCACCTACCTGGAGTTGTGATTTAGTTCCTGAGAGATGTCATCCACCATGTCATTCTCAGACGCTTCGTGTGCCATAGCCTTACATAGCTTACATGCCACCAGAGCCTTGGCCATAGCTTCCTCACCATGCTGCCAAAAGAACAGTGCCATTTTCTGCCGCTTCATAAGTACAGCCCACACCATGAGCTCATGGAAGGGGAAGGGAAAGTGGTTTATCTCAGGGTCATCCAAATCAATGTCCACCTCTTCCTCCCGCTTACGTGTTGTCTTCTGCCGGCCTCTGCGGATTGGCATATCATCCTGATAGCAATCAATAAAAAGTAAGCGAGGTTAGAAGAAACCCATATCCAGTAGGTCCATGCTTCACTTGCATGGTTTAATCACTGTGACAGAAAAAAGTATCATATTCATTAAAACAGTCTTTATGAAGAACTGTGTTGTGGCTTTCTGATGTGAGGTGAAAAAGATTAACTGGAATCAATCTTAACACCAAGGTATTAAATCAGATCAAAGGGAATTTTCTCATAGATATGCAATCTGTAGTGTTGTAATCTCATGATGTCAGTGTTATTTTACTGTATATTTTTTTTATATATTTAGTCTCAGGAAAATACATGCTTTTTCCCCAATTACGTCTTCATTAAATCTGTGGTATGGAGTTCTAAAAATATAATATGTGAAAATGTGTTAACATAAACACTGGAGCAGCTACCTGTACCAACCACCTTGCTCTGTGCTGCGTTACAGCGCTGCCTCCTCAGCTACTGCTTATAAGAAGAATGGTAGCAAACAGAGCCACAGATGACTGCGGATAAGCACAACTATAGCACACTGACAGTTTTGAGCTTGACAGGGCTGTGTGGGGGAGGGGTGCAAGCACTGCTAAGACATTCCTCCTGGCTCTGATTGGTTGTTTATGATCGCGAGTGGTGCATTTTTGCAAATGGTAGTAGAACTACTGGGGGAAGCCAAAGGAGCATAAGTTTTTTCTTTTTTTTTTCTTTTTTTTCCACATAATCTTTCTCATAATCTACTCTCATGATGCAGTAATGGTTTTGACAAATATGTAACATGAATTTTTACAGAAGTTACCTTTTACACCTCTAATGATAATGTAAACTGAAAATATTTTTTCACGATTTTTTTAGCTAGCCCAGAAATTCTCCCACAGTCCCATTAAATTGTTTCTAAAACAAGCTTTTATATGTTGTTTGTTTCAAGGCCTGCAAAGAAGAGAACATAAAGTAAACTTTCCGACTATTTTATGGACAAAGCTGCAAAACGTATTTATTTCAGAATTGGCTGCATGAGAGGAACAGTAACAAGTGAATGCCAGGCAAGGGATCTCAACTCACCTCCATCCCCAGAAGCTTCAGTGCTTTGGGCTACAAAGTGACAAAAGCACAAACAGATTAAACCCTGACATATGTATTATAAACAAACAAAACCTATAGACTAACAGTAACTGTGCCTCAATTTATGACTTGTCTAAAGCAATATAAAGAAACTACTGTTTCATAACCACTGACTGCTACTGCGACAATAACTTCCTGTTTTTGCATGCTTTACATCATAGTGTGCCTTTACGGTTCTGAGCATCTGTCAAAAAACAGGACATGTATGAATTATGCATTCATGAACTATCATCTAGCTGGTAAAAATAGCTTGTTTCCTTTGGGAATGGTGATATCTATTTAAAGGCTTTGTTGTCACTTTTTTGTGCTTGAATGTACATTCACTTGATCCAGAAAATGACAGTAAAACTAAAACTGACTATATATTATCTTAGTGCTTCTTTGTTCCCATGTTATCTTAACTATTTACATCTTGGAGCACAACATGGTATACACCCAGCCTCACAACTTACAGTACAGTGAAAAGGTAAAAAAAACAAACACAAGATCTGCCTCAAGTATTACAGTCACGTTTTTTCCTCTAAATATACTGTAGTTACCAGTGTGACGTAGCAATTCTACAATAAAGGCTATAGATGAAAAAAAAAAGGTAATTTATCATGGAACTTCTTGGAAAATGTGAAAGACCTATTGTGTTTTGTATCATTATTCTGTTAAATTTATACCACAATCTTTACTGTATTTTAATTAGACTTAATGTAATCATCCAGTGTCAAGTTGCATATCAGTGTGAATTGGAAGAAAAATGTGAAACTGATTTATTTTCCTAAACCTTCCTAATGGATTCTTAATTAATCTAAAAAAAAAAACTGTGTTCATTTGTATTCAGCCCGCAGCCACAATAGCTTTAAATCAAAACCCAGAAAAACCAAATGCCTAAGAAGAAGCCCACTAATTAATAAAATTTATTCATCATGAAATATGTGGCAATTTTGGCTGCAAAAAGAAAGCAAAAGTCAGAGAAGAAGCAAAGAGGATAAGCTACTCTTGAGACGAGAATTATCTTAACAACACCATCTAAACCATGTCACCCCTGGTAGTGCTACCATAATGCTCTGGAGGAATGTTCTGCAGCTGGGACAGGGAAGTTAGCCACAGCTGACACAAAAACATAATGGAGACATAATGGATCCTTAAAAAACAGTTAATGGAGACTTTAGACTGGGGTGGAAGTTGACCTCACAGCAAAGTCAAGAAGTCCAAATGTGCCTAAGGTTGTTGTTTATATGCAATCAGATGTCCAACCTTAAACTTGCAACGGAAGTGCACCAGTACAATGAAACTTTTCTAAGGTTTAAAATATTCCAGTCAATGTTTAGCCACAAACCTAGTTTAGGTCTTGGTTCTCCCTCTGACTAAGCATTGACTGTTTTACCTACAGAATAGGTAACACTTTCAATATAATGTGTTGTGACATTTTGTTATTTCAGCCAAAGTCATACAACAGCTGAGTCAGTGAGGCTCAATACAAATCCCTGTCAGATTATTTAGACTCGTTATTTCAAAAACTGTTGAAAATCAATTTTTTCATCCTTTTAACATTTACTGCATGTGTTTTCTTCTCTTGGTCTGTTACACTTAGTCATGTGATTATTTTAACAATGTACTGTAGAAAATGACCCAGAAACCTTCAGCTAGGCTCACTGTTGTTCACTGCCATGGAAGTGGCTATGGGGCATAGCACAACATTCACATTATGTTTAACCTCCAGAGAATTAACTTACTGGAGCATTTACATTTCTCTGGAAAAGAAGTGGTCATTATATAATAACGGTAACCAATTATACCAACTGTATACATTACTGTAGTTACTCACACTGATGCCTTCCTCTACCGGGACAGTGGACAGAGACCATGGGTATGGAAAGAGTGACACAACAACTCTGTCCCATTCATTGAGGGGGCCAAAGGTTTAGGCTTGTACAGCTTTCTTAATGTACATGTGCTCACTCAGCTGTCTGATGATATCACTGCAGTCTCTGTGGAGCAGTGCGTATGCAGTTTGCACAGCTGAACTTTCCAGCGTTCAGTCATCTGTGTAATGAGGAGTTTATGTCTTACGAAACTATTATAAAGTCAAACATCTGTCAGAGATCATAACATCTAACATTTCAATGAACGTTGAAATAAACTGACCATCTTCAGTGTGGGCCAATCTGTCCTAATCACCCATTTATGAAGCAAATGTAACTTCTTTTTTTTTTTTTTATGAAAAATATAAATGCTGTCATGCTTTGTGATGTAAGCTCATTCCATCTGGGTCCAAATAATAAATGCTCTTTCAAAGTTATTCTAACCTTCATATCTTTTAGTATTGATCCTAATATTACCTACATTTGCTCAACATTCTCCAGCACATTGAAGGGCATTATTTAGTGTGTTCTTTGCTTTCAGTTTGTAGGAAACATATTAAATACATAGAAAAACAAAGTCAAACAGACTTTTGGTTTAACCATTGAACAATAAATAAATAATTTCAGTCTACCTGTGCATTGCTCTGTTTGAGCTACACCTGTGGCGATAATTAAATTGATGAAGCGGAACAAGCAAGTGAACATCATCTAACAAGCCGCATTTATATGATGTGAACACACACAAGCCATGAATGTAGGCAGGATTTTAATGTTCTTTCTATCATAGTGGTATTTGCTGAAGATATATCCACATGAACATCTGATTCTGAACTGTACACTTCACATACTGTATCATTTAGTTTATGTACTTTGACAATAAGCCGTTATGCACACCCTTAAGGATAATTTTTTTTTTTTTCCTAATATATGTTTCATAGTCATCCGGTTCATGGTCAAGCTTAAAAAGTTCAGTTAAGGCAACTGGACGTGAACCTTTCTTGATTTTTCACCTCTATTCCAAGAGGATTCCTCAGTCCTAACTAGTGGTGGGGAGAACAGAGATTGATATACTGTAAGTGTAACAAAGAACTAGGGGACAAACTCAGAAGGTGGCTTTGATCCCTCCTTTTGGATTGGTCAAGAAGGTCATCTGGGGGTGTTAACAGCCGTTAGGGGATCACCTCCTCAGGACAGGACGCAGCTGTTCACCTACACCTGAAGGCTAAAGAACACTCCTTTGAGGACAACAACGTCAATATTCTGGCCAAGGAAGAAAGCTAGTTTGAGGGGTGAGGGGTTTTGGACGTCATCTTTGTTAACCTGAAATAAAAACATCTCTCAACAGAGGAGGTGGTCTGATATAACCCTTCACCTACCTGCAAAGCACTTTTAGGAACAACACCCAGAAGATTCACCTCTCACCTGCCTTCACCTGACTAACACTTCAATGAGGCATGTGACCAAAACCACTCTGACGAGGTAGTTAACGACCAATCAGAAACCCCTAAGTACCATTAACACCCCCCAGATGACCTCCATGGCTAAATCAGTAGGTGGGATCAAAGTCAGCTTTTGTCCCCCCCTAATTCTTTGTTACACCTGCAGTATATTAATCTCAGTTCTCCCAAACCACTGGTTAGAACTGAAGAAGCCTCTTGGATTAGAGGCAAAACATCTTCAATAAAACTTCACATCCGGTTGCCTGAACTGAATTTTCCAAGCTTCCTAATATATGATAGGACAAGATCTAGAAGTTCACAGTTGTTCAGTGGTGTTGGAAAGATGCAATTAAAGTTCAACATTTGCTTTCATACTTATCAAAAAATTATGTCTGTATGCAAAACATAAACTATAGGTTATTTTTGGCATATTTTTTGCATATAGGTATGTGAAATAATTTTGTTGTTAAGGAAGAAAGATAACAGTTAGAGAAAAATCCAAATTAATGATCATGTTTAAGAAAATAAAATCTAAATAGGCCCAATTTTTGTTTAAGTTAGATGGAATTAGGTTAGACCATATTGATAAGAAGACGGGGAGACACTGATCTCCCAATAGGGAGACAGTTTGCAGGGTGCATCCTCTGTCTTGGTCGGAAATAAAGTGACCTTATTTCTTTCTTATGGAAAAACAAACTGCTGGATTTGGTTTTTTAAAAGGATAACATTAGTGCCAATAGCTTCTTCAGTGACATTATGGCTTTGCCTGGCTAAAGATATTTATGCAAGTATAATATTAGACTACAAATCAGGAATCTTTAAATCTATTTGCGTTTATTGCTATTTCTTTATTTACTACAAATTTTAATAATCAAACTTGACAATATTCTAAAGGTTCTTATTTATCCTAATGAACTATTTGCATCAGCAAGGTAAACATTTTCTCCTTAGAGTATCCTTATATGAGGACTTAATTAACAGAATATAATTTGGTTTGTGTTGCACTGGCATGAAAAATCTGATCATGAAGCTAATCCAACTGACATGACCCGCTTCATTTAATGACATTAGTGCCAAAGTTGATGGAATAGCAACATGCTAATGAAGGTAAAGATCAATTACTTACCCTTTTGGGCCCAAAAAGGTTATGGTAGAGTGTTCTGAATCTCTTCCTGGTGTAGTTGCATCGATACGCTCCACCCATGAGGTACTCAATGACTAACCCAATGTCAATGAGGCTGATGCGGTAGTCCGGTGGCAGGTTTCCCTATAAACCAGAGCGTGTTAACAACCAACACCAGTTGATTAACAAAGTTAGGGAAACAAGAGATCAGAAATAAACCATACACACTGACAAAAACAAAATCCATCACAAATTGTTTGTTGCTACAAAGGAAAACGTGATCATCAGATTCACCTTGAAGTAGATCCAACTGAACCCTGGATATTCTCGCTTGGAAAGAACACACAATGTCAGTGAGTAAACCGCACGATAAGCAAGAGCAGCGGATATTTGGGACACAGAAACTCAGGCAGTATCTCTCTTCCAGTCTTTTGAAACTTTCAGTGTCTTAACAAGACCTTGCCTCAGTAGTTTATTAGGCATTATTTTTTAGTTTGCAATAACAACCTAAAGATTTGCAGGATGGGACTCTTAAAACACCATGTGACTGAGGCACAAAAGATATTGAAATCGCAAGATCTATTTGGATCAAAATGTCATGTCTGAATAATATCACAACAAAGACCAAAATGAGTTGTCATCATTTTATTGAGAAGGATAAAAAGTTCTTATGGAAGGCTAAATACTGTGTTTTAAGTAAGAAAATGGTGTTAAAATTGAATCGACAGCCTGGAAGAGAGCTGAAGTAGGAGCATGGAGCTACAGGCAGCTATTAAAGCTGGAGGGGAGAGTCAATATTGAAACAGATGCATTTTATGTGCAATATGTCAATATTCGTTGCTCCTCATCATGCCATCAACCTTGACTTTAGACACTGCAGTTATTACCCTGCCTCCACTGCTCGTTGGGGACACACCACTTATCTGACATATTTAAAACCAACTCTGTCTCTACTTCTGCAATAGGCCGGGGGTTTCCAACTTAAATAGGCTGGGAGTTCAAACAAATCTTCCCACCTTAAAGTCTTACTCTCTCATTAATGATGCTGGAAAGATGTTAGGTAAAAATACCAATTAAACTGATCTTTTACATACTTTCTTGGAAAAAGCATTACATGTTATGTAAGAGGCTAAAGCTTTCTTAAAATATTTATCAGCTCTTTAAGCAGTTTACCTAGAAGTCCTCTCCATTTCTAAGGAAAAGAAAGATGTTTTAAGAGTCCTATAGCAGGCAAATTTGTGTTCAACCTATCCATTAGGGAGCAGTATAGCACATCAAGTAGCGTACAGAGAACAATCTGTGATTAAGAGTCTTTCCTTTGGACCCAAAGTGACAAACTGAGTTTTGAATCATCGATCTTTGTGGTACCTTAGGTCACCTCTCTCACTAAATAACTCTTAGCAGCTATATAACACACAAAAAAAAAAGCTTTGACATACTTTTTACACCTTTTGACATACAAGATGCTGATGTAGAATAACACTTCTGGATAACCATTGCCATTCTACGTATATATTTGTTGTAGCACAGAAGATAATGTAAACTTAACATTATACATCTGTTTAATTCCAATTACTTTCTCATGAATGAAAAAAAATAATTAAGAATTGTTAGAAAATAACCTCTGGTTTGCAAGGAATTCTTAGAGAGAAAACTAATTTCTAGTCCTCTGTATTGCTAAAACAATCCGACTTGCAAAGCAATATTAGGAACAATACCCAGAAGATTCAACTATACCTACCCTCACTTGACCCACACTTCACTGAGGGATGAGACTGAAACCACTCTGACATGGGAGTCAATGACCCATCCGAACCCCCTAATAACCGTTAAGACCCCCCAGGTGACCTCCATGGCTAATTCAGTGGAAGGGATCAAAGCCACGTTTTGTCCCCCCTAATTTCTTTGTTGGACCTAAAGTAATTTTTCAAGCTCAAAGAGTTAACTTAAATTTTTTGCTATTATTAAAAAAAAAAAAAAAAAAAACTGATAATTACACTTTCAAAGATTTAATCTGTTTCATACATTGTTTAGATTGTCCTATTTTCCGAGGTTAACTATCAAAACAATCTCAGACTGAAATATTTCCACCTTCCACCACTCCTCCTATACTGTGAACCCAACTTTTGTATTTGTACTTCTCTATTTAGATTTCACGTTAATCAAAATAATTCATAGCGTATTATACTTACCACTATGAAATATTTTAAACGTTTACTAACTCAAGTATTTGTGTTTGATAGAGTGTTTAAGTTTTATAGCCAATTTTGCCTTTACCCCTAACTGTTAAAGGGGTCATAGAATGCAAAACCGAGTTTACATTATCATAGATGAATAACGATAGTTCAGTGGGTGAAATGGACGTACAGTGAAGTTCAAACCCTCTCGACACTTCCTTTCTCTGCAAATCTTACAATTCTAAATTTCATCCATCAAACGAAGCAACAAATTGACGTCAATTCGGGGATGTTGCCTTATTTGGTTGTCCAGGCTACCGTCACCGGGTCAGGTTCGGTTGCTCAGTCCCCTGCTAGCCCCCTCCACGAAGCAGCCCCAGAGCTCACGGCTCGGTTCTGCTGCGTTGTTGTCGACCAAAATCCCGAATGATTTTGAAAAACCCCCCGGACATTTACGAACAAGTATGAAAAGTAGGACATGTCCAGGAAAAAGGGGACGTCTCATCACCCTACCATAGAAGTGTCAAGTACCGAAGCACAAATACTTCGTTACTGTACTTAAGTACACTTCTTTGGTATCTGTACTTTACTCAATTACTTATTTTTCTTCCTAATTCTGACTTCTACTAATTACATTTTCAAAAAATTATCTGTACTTTCTATTCCTTACATTTTTAAAACAAACGTTACTAGTTACTCTTGGCTTCGGTTTAATCTTTCTAAATATTTCACGTGATGTGTGCAATCCAATGCAGATCATTGGTGCCATTCACATCTAGTGAGAACTTGTGTAATTACATGCGTCATATTACGAAAACACTCATTGCTTAGCTATTCGTCAAATTTGTGCTGACGCCAAAGGAAATCATCAGAAGCAAGCAGGTGTTCTTCAAACTTCAAACACTAATTGTCTATGCCATGCTACAATGTCGGATTCAGAAAAAGATGTTGAAATGTCTGAAAGGTCGGACACAGGTGAGAGCGTATAGGGAGATGGAGACGGAGACCAACAAGACCTCCCTCATCCTTGGCCCTATTTCAAAGAAATTTTCAAAATTGTTGAAAATTGAGCTTTCAATTCATATGGTGGCATCTGGCTGTTTTTTTTTAAAGATTACTTAATACTTTTATACTTTAAGTAGTTTTTGGAGCACATACTTTTTCACTTTTACTTGAGTAAAGAGGTCAAGTTGATACTTCAACTTTTACCAGAGTTTTTTTAAACTGCAGTATCTATCCTTATACTTAAGTAACAATTGTGTGTACTTTTGACACCATTGCCCTACCATATCAACAATCTCAATGTTTCAGTGAGTGAGTGCTTGTTGCAATAATGTGTCTTTGCTCAGTGGCTTTGTTCGTTGTAAACCAACGAATCAGCGCACAGCTCATCTAAATATTCATGAGTATACCATAAATGAAAACAAAATCAGTTGTTTCATTCTGGGGCTCTTAACCAGGCTTGCTTTAGGGCTCAGAGAACAGCAAATTCGCCATTTTCAGCCCCAAACAATGTTACACACCCTATTCAGAGACCTCAAGAACCAGTACAAAATACCCTATATAATCATTCTATGACCCCTTTAACACAAAGATAGTAAAACATCAAAATTCTACCTATAACCCAGATTTTCCATTCATACATACATACATATTATATGGCATTATAATAGCACCTAGCATGACTATTTCACACAAAACCTATTTGATGACATTTTGACATTCAGTTGGCTGCTTAACCAGCAACATAGAACAATCCCGATCAATATAACAATAACCTTACTCACGGCTTTGAAACACTAGCCAGTAGTCGCATGCATTACCAACTAGTCAGCCTATGTTTTCTTAAAATTCTATTTTGCAAATGTACTTCCTTATAACTGTTAGGTTGTTCATTGTTAATTCATTTAAATACATGCCAATTGATACACAAACAATTCAGATTATTGTAAAGGTTTGATTTAAATGTCCTTAACAAGAACATTTTACACTAACTCAACACATTTCAGCTGGCAGACATTTTTCTTAATAACATGTCTTAATTATACAGTATAATTAATCATTTTCTACTTTCAGGTTTAAATTTTATAGCGCTGTGCAGCAGCCATTCTGTCACTATCCTTACACAATTTCTGGCACCCCTAGTAAAGATTTATAAAAAAGCCTCAGTAGTAATCTGACTGAATTCAAACATGGCAGATGTGTAGAGGTTTTCATTTTCATTGGTAAAGAAGTGATAACATCGGTTAAATCTAATTAGGGAACATACTTAAATCACAGTGACACAAAGACATTCAGCAACAATGTTAAGTTACACACCTTCACTGGAATAGAAAGGGAGAATTATGCCATGCACTAAAGGGTTGTATGATGATAATACACAACTGTATGAGAAATGCAGTGATCTTTTTCCACAGAAACATCAGATTACAGCTGTTTTAATGTGTTCACTACTTGTAGTAGGCTTATAACAATGAAAATCTCAGAATACTAAAGCTGATGTTGCTGGCCTTTACATCATCTCGTAAAAAAGGGATATCTCCTGATTGGCAAGGAGATGCTTAATTGAAAATCTAGTTCCTATGTTGTATAACCTGGAGGCGTTATGGAAATGCTTACAATGTGCAACAAGATTAAAAGAGATCATTTTGTCTAGAGATTTTCTATATTGAACTATAGCTATACTAATTGTTTTATTCACAATTACCAACAACTCTTCTATTTGCTAAAGTCCAGAATACCAAAAATCAGAAAAGATGCAGTAGATTGATTTGTGTCCTTTAGGTTTAGATGTCTATTTATCCTTCCATATCAGAAGTGTATTGATTTGGGTCAAATATCTTGGGATAACCATCAACAAGTTTACAAAAGCTTGTTGTAATTCTGGTCCAATCTTCCTCACAGAACTGATGTAATTGAGTCAGCATCCAGGGTTCCTTTCACACACACTTTTTCAACACTTGTCACATATTTTCTGTGAGACTGAGACCAGGGCTTTGTCACTGGCACCCCAAAGGGTTGACTTTATTGTGTATGGGCCTTTTTTTTTTTTACCACTGGCTACAAGGTTAGATTCACTATCTTTTGGGGAGACATTTTTTCCCTAAAAATTAACTCCATTGCTGATATTTTTAGCTTTTTCTTTAATATTTCTGCCTAATATAATTTTCCTACAAGACCAACTATTATAAATTCTATTAGTCCCTCATTTTTACAACCCTCAAACATCATGAATCTGACAAATAAAAAACCATAGTTGCAAGAGTGATGGCAATCTTGGACTCACTCACGTATAGCTATTGACAGTAAAGCCAAACACCAAAACAGTTTCTTTAGACAACAGAGGATGTCTCCCAAACTGCGGCTCTTTCTCTAGCTTTCTCTTTGAATTGAGAAAGCTTCCTGGAGAGGTGGCGAAACGTCTTCAAATCTTAAAAACCAAGTCCAGTGGATATTTTTTGAATTTTTACGGAACTCTTTCTCTACCCTTTTTCTTCTCCCTGAACTCTCTAGCTTGACACCAACATGCTGTTTTTGTTGGTTATATTTGTTAGAATGGATTCGCCTGTCACCTTCAGGCAACCCGAATTTGTAAGTATAAGCTAGAGCCATTGAAGTCCAGGTATTTTTCTTCCCCGATTGCTTTTGATGTTCCCTCTACATCACACAGCGAGTGAGTAGCTCTAAGGTATTGTCTTTAGAATTGAAGGTGTGTCTAGAATTAACTGGTCCAAAGCCTACAGGAGTATGAAATGATCAGAACTGATTTTAAAGACGCTAGCCCCATCTGTTGTTATTTTTATTTTATTTTGTAGTAATTATTTCCTCAAACTCAATGGCTACAAATTACATCTTTCTTTTACAGACAATTTCAAGCTGCCAATAGCAAATCTAATTTAATTGTTTAACAGGGGAGGATCAAACCTGTTTGTCTATCTTATGTTTTTCCACAAAATCTCCCACAGCACATCCACTTATTACACATGCATTCCCCCATGCAATTTAGCACTCCTTATATGATTTTTTTTTATAGATCGGGCTCACACAAAATAATTTGTTTCTCATTATTTTGGACTTTAGCAAATGGAAATATTTCATACAATTCAGCCTGACCAGAAACAGGAAAATATTTAGTCTGATTAAATATTAGTATGTAGTGTGTAAGTTGTATCTTTTTTTTCACATTTAAGTCCATCTCAGCTCCTGTGGAGTAAACAATATTATTTACCATAATGGTGTGGGCCTTGGAGAAAGGAGAGATTATGAGTAATGAGGGTTGAAAAACGTGCAAAGCTCTAAACAGCCAATGCAGTGCGCAAAACCAGCTGAAAGAGAAAAGCTGCCCTCTATGATGGAGCTAACAGCAGCTAGATCTACCAAATATATTCACACACAAACAAAGACATATACAACATTTATACACCACAAAAAAAGCAGCTGATTCTTGGTAGTCAAACATGTCCAGAGTACAATATTAGCATCCATTGAGCCTGAGCTGCTACAGAGCTACTGAAACGGTAATGATAGTCTTACCTTTTTGACATCTCTGACAAGGTGGTAAAGAGTGTTTGATGGTCCGTGTCGCTGTGGGTTATAAAGGCAAGAATTAGAAAGAGAAGTAAATGAAATAAAAGTAGCACCACCAAATTAATTCATCTTATACCGTGTTGTAAAGCTCCTCCAGTCTAGAAAGTGTGAGAAAGCGGTGCATGCTGACCCCATTTTCAATCAGCAGCTTGACAAAGTCCACTCTGTCCAAAACTAAGGCATCCAGCATTGCCTGTTCCAGGGAACCAACCTTCAAAAAGATTCAAGAACACATAAAAATCTGGTATGAGATTAATACTCCATATAGGATTTTTTTTAAGCATCCATCTTTTTTGTATAATGTAGCCATAGATTTTTTTTAAATGTGAGAGAGGATGTAATTCTATTATATAAATTTTACAGTAGTGACCCAAAAAACCTCCTTATCAGTATATTCCAGAGCATTTAGTGTAACCCTAAATATCCATCCATTTATTTCTTCTTACAGGCCACTGCTGTCCATAGATGAAAATCTGACTGCGTGCGATGTCCACTCTGTTCCACGCAAGAGCCAAACTCAGCTGGTCTGGGGCCGAGGCATTGGCACCTGTAGAAGAAAACAGCATTCGTCACGAATGCAGGGAACAACAGCATTAAATATGAAAAGGAGGCAACTGAGGAAATAAATATAGAGTTTAAAACATATGTGGTAATTTTACCATACTAACAATCAACACAGCTTGCTTGATTGTTAGTTATTTAAACTTCTTGGGAAGATTTATGTTTAATTTAATCTATGCTCCACCTCCTTCTTAACATGATCTTACCTGATATCTATTGACAATAGTTTTATCCCATAAACCATGCCGTTTGTTTTTCACTGTACTTCATTTTGTTCTATGCAAAAACATACAGTTTCTACTTAAAAAACATATTTTATAAGTCCATTAGATTTATTTTGGCAAAGCTTTCAGTCTAAATTCAGCTTTGTGGCTGCCTTCTTTAACTGATACAAATAGAAGTCTTTGTGCAGATATTTCTGCAAGAAGGGTTGCCATCCATCACTTATCCTTCTGAACAGTCCTTCTGTCTCTTACAGTCAGATGCTACTTTGTTTCTTTCTTGCTATGAACAGTAATCTGACAGCTGTCATGAATATTTTCATTGTTTTATTAAGACTTCAACTTTACCTCAACTATTGCTGCTATCTTTTCATAATCATGAAACATGCTGGGAAAACATCTGCCTCAAAATGCTGTGCTGCCTTTACTGTAAGTCTTTCACTACTTTGTAATCTTCAGTGGTTTGTTCTGCAGAATGCGAGGCACCTGATTTGGGATCACTGACATTGACTATATGGAATTCAACAAATCATCTCTGAAACAAGCAAAATAACGTTACTAAATGTTTTCCATTAAAAAAATCCCTGCTAATTGATAATACCTTAAATGCATAACTCTTTGGCAAAGAGAGAGGAGACTTTTCTTTAAATGGTTCAAGTAAGCATAAAACAACCATGTCCAATAACATAAAAAACTGTGATTTCAAAATGACAACTTACATTTAAACTTTTGCACAGAGCTTAAAGGGATTTTGGATAATGTATAAAAAGTAATAATTGTTGCACCGTTAAAGAAATAATTTGTTCTCTATGGTTTGTGGCACACTAAAAGCAAAACCTTTCATTTGTTCATCAACGTCTGTCTTTTTGCCACATAATCAAAAAGCAGGGGTGCTCAAGTCCACTCCTCAAGAGCTACCATCCTGTAACTTTTAGATGCATCTCTTCTCTAACACACCTGAATCGAAAGGCACATTTAGCCCAGCAGAGGCATGGTAACGAGCCACTCATTTGATTCAGGTGTGTTTAAAATGGGATGCATCAAAAAGTTGCTGGATAGTAGCTCTTGAGGACTGGACTTGAGCATCCCTGCCATAAAGGCTAAATCTTGTAAATTACCAACTGAGAGCCATCTCACCAGGGAGCAGAAATACCATGAGTTTATTTGGCTGCTTCTTTGAATGATGTGTTCTCCATTTGTCACTTTATGTGATTTACAGTTTTCTAACTTTTTGTCTTCAAATATTGGTTGAAAAGCACTTCACAAAAAGATGTCTTTGAATAAATATGTTTTTTTTCACACCACTTAACTGATATTACAGAGGCACTCAAAACACAGAAGCATTTATACTGAGTTTGCATTATACACAGGTGGAGTCTATTTACTAAATAGATGACTTATGAAGCAGTTGGTGGAAATGGGTATTATCAACAGGGATTGAAATTATAGACACCCAAATACAAATTCACAACATACATTATTTGTATATAAATTAATACATAATGAATTTACTTAAATAATCGTTCTTGTGACACCTCAACATTTTAAATGGAATTAAACTGAATATCAAATAAAACCAGTGAGGATGAAAAAGTTCAATTGATATGAAAACTTTCGTTTGGAAAATCACTGACAAAGGCTCAGAATAGCATTGTTTAAACATCACTTTTTTAAACAAGCATGATTAGGTCCCTGTTAATCATTGTAATTCAACAACAACAAAAAAGTCCCAGTTTGGTTCCTTCATTAGAATTTACCAGACAGAAAATCCAGTGGACATTCTTTCCTGGAAGGCCACTGTAATGCAACAAGTTAAGTATCATTATTATCCCTTATGCTTTGATGGGAAATTAATGACTTTTGATAAGCTTTTTATACAGCGTGCTCTATAAACGGTTTAAAGGACTGAGCTGAATTACTAGAGCTTACTTGTATTCCGACAGAGTACCACTTATAAGAATCAGTACATGCAAAATGTTGTGTGTGTGTGTGCGTGTTTGTGTCCTAATCGATATCTCACACACAGAGCACAAGTGGTGCTCACTTATTGAAATAATTTGTCTTACTTCTTTTCTCACCTAAGGTTTCTTTCTCTGCTCTGTTTTGTGAAGCTTCAGGCAGCAGCTTAGTTCTTTAACAAATAAATCTAGTCCAGTGGTTTAGGAAGCTCTTAGGCAAGATGTGACAGATTTCACTTTACACCTCCCATTAACTTGAGTGTTGCAAGATGTGACTTGCATGTAAATTTTCTGCCATACTGTTGACCGGTAACTCTTTTAGGTTGCTGGATTCTTCTCTTATCTTTAGGTTTCCCAATTTATTCTATATCATTTTCTTTTATCTTTCTCAATCATCCTTTGCATTTTTATCTAAATTGCATTCCTGTGACCATGTGTACAGAACAAAAAGAAAAAAATGTTAATCAGGAACAAAAATGATGGAATGATCAACTGATACCGTAGAAAGGATATGTGAGGGGGATATAAACATATGGAAACTAAAGGAACCAATGCACATGAGTCTGGGATGAGTTTAAAGATCAAGGAGATATAAATGGATGAAAAATTATTTTGCATATGCATTATCATTGCTGTATATAAATTGTTTAAAACACATTTCTCCTTCACACAATTCTTCTCCAAACTGTAGATCGTGCCACCCCCACACCCCCCTCTGTATAGCTGAAGTGCCTCCCTGAAATACAGCTCCTGCGATAATCAATCATTTGCTCTGAATTGCTAAGAAGCCCCACAGGATCTGCTGACTCTACCTATGCAGAAGTTTGTTCAGCCTGTATTTATGTGTAAAAAGGTGTTTTGTGAAAAGGAATGAGCTGTAGTCCCTGAGGAAGCCAGGCAAACCATGGTCAATACAAGCTACTGAACAGCAATAAAAAAAAGTATGGATTCTACATTCCGACGCTTGTTTGTTTGTATGAGTGTGAGTGTTTGGGAAATATTAAAACACAGGGGAGAAAAAAACGGTTTTATTTGAATTACACAGAGTTTATCAACCTCATTTCTCTTAATCCTCACTGCTAAAAAAATTTGACATTTTGTTTAACTGTGTTGATTGTAATTTATACATTTTTTTTCTGCTATCACTGAATTTGAGAAGTTAGTGGTGTTACCCTCTTAAGCCTAAATAGCAGTTATACATATTTCTCTAGAGAAAATAAATTTACCTGAAGAGAAAATATATATATATTTTTTTGCCCAAACAACAGAAAGAATATTTGAAGGACTGAAGGAGAGATTTTTACTTAAAAATAATTAACAGCTGTCAGAGGTTTAAAGGAGTGGTAACACCATGCTGTGGGATTGTTGTAAAATCACATCAAATGCAAACAATATGTGTTCTATTCTTTGACATATAGCCATTAAACATTTTTTTATTCTTATTTTAAAATGCATGCCAAGAAAATTTGGTAAAGGTAAGACACCGGGCTTGGTACATTGAGTTAAAAGGCAGAGTATGGAAACAGTTAGCTTACAAGCTATCGCGGTCCTGAGCTCAGGTGACCAATTTGTTTATTTTACAAAGTACCTACAGATCAGATTTATTAATGTATTTTGCAATAATTGCAGACTACTAAATATTAATCAGAGCTAACTTTTCCAAAATGGCTTGTGGCTGTCTTCAAATAATTTCTGTTTAGCTGTAGACGTAATGAACAGTTATGATCATGATTATGATCATAGCTGATGATGACACGTTATTTTTTATTTCATATAGAGTTGGAAATTTTAAGTCACAACAACCTTCCTGCCCAAAAGCTTCAATCCTTGTTACTGATAGGCTCCTGAAGCTAGAGTAATCACAGATCTGTGAATATATTAATAAATGGGCACTATATACTAACACTGTTAGGATCTTTGGCGTTTTGCTGTTTCTCTGGTATGAGTGAGCTTCCTGTCACAGAGAGGATCTTTGCTGGTGGCTGGGCCGACCCATGTTGCTGCATATCCGAGAACACTTCTCAGTCCAGATGACTTGCATGTAAATAAGGAAGTGAAGGATCATCTCTCTTCACTGGATGATTACTCCTGATGGTATTCCAGCCAAAGACCTAAACTGGAAATATCGTTCTTGTTGAATTTGTGTTTCTGTGAATTTCTTTATATGTGTACTCTATTTATATTCCAGACAACCAGTAAACCTCAGTTCCTCTTCGATCTTCATGGAAAAGGTCTCACTTATGTGCAGCAGTTCCCAGTCTTCCTCACCTTTCTGCCTGCTCTCCAGCACAACGTATCTTGCAGGTACCAACGTCTCACTCACATTGTCCTGGACCTCTGGGGTACAGTCTGCAAAGCCTGCTGAATCAAACCCCTTACAGATCGATGCTGCCTTCCCTTCATCTCTCAAGTGAGCTAATCAATCAGTCATCCTTTGTCATTAACCAACTCCCTCCTTATCAATCTGCTTTCTGCTGTCAGACCAACCAGGAAGTTCAACCGACCTCCTTTAATTCTCTGCTTCCAGATTCTTGTTGCTTTTTGTAAATAAAACGTTAAGCTTCACCGGTTTTCAATGTGATTCTGTATGTGAATCAGAAAAAGTAAAAACCAGCTTGACCAACACATGGGGTGGCACACATTGTGAGCTGTGGTTGTTTCTCAGTGTTTACCATATTATGAGCATTTATTTTTATACTCTATGTTGACAACTACTTTCCATTACATATAAGGTATTATATGTAATGGCTAGTTAATAATATTATTAAATTTGTTATTTAATCCCTTGATTGGTATAGTTTTTTTTTTATATATAATCTCACTTTTCCATTTTTGTGATTGTTTCTAATAAAGTATTGCATTGATCTTAATTATTCTGAAGCATCCTTGGTTTAGTTGCTCAAACTGTTGGGTTTTTTATGAGCATATTAAAACAAGTTTCTCAGTTAATCTGAATGTCAGAAACTATTTCTATATCATGATATCACATATACATCACATATACTTTTTTATATGTGTTGACATTTTTTATCTTACATTTACAAATTCAGACCTCTGTGTATGTTTTTTTTTTTTTTTTTTATGAGTTATCTTACCCCATAAAATACCTAATAATGATGGCAAGTTCACAAAGCCTTACTTTAAAGAAATTTGTCCTTTGCAAATATGGAATAAAACCATTTTTGCAACGTGGAAGAAAGTGAAATTTCACAATAAAAAGATACATAATTTAATGTTTTTCCAGTGCAAATCTGTAGCTGACGTGATACAATAAAAAGCTGTGACTTAAAGAAGATTCTGCTGTTTTTTATGAATTAGTCATTGCTGTCTTCATCTATCCAAAAAGTGATCTGTCTCTTATTTAGTGAGAAAATTTGATGCATTTAATCTCACCAATATACAGTAGTTTCCCTTAGAAAAAAACACTATAAGCTCACAAAAAATGTAGAATGCAGACTGTTTTTTCACGTAGAACACATCCAGCACTAACCAGAATTTCCTGCAACCCCCTCAGTGTTACTAAAAGGCTTTTAGCAACCACCCTAACAACGATGTATAAATGATGCTGTGGGGTTTTATGTTCTCCACAGACACCTCTATACATTATATCATTGTCAGCAGTTTTCAAAAATAATTCAAGGCAATAATAACTGGACTAAATTCCAGGACTGAATTGGCAAGTTGTTCAAAAAAGACATGTAAGGAAGTGCTCAAAAAGGCAACCAAATTATATCTTCTTACATTTTTTTTTTTAAATATCTCTAAATAGATTTTTTATTTATTTCCAAAATACATTTAATAGTGCAAATAATAAAAAAAAAGCTTGAAATTCTTTGTGCTGGTTTCATTGTCTTTTTCAAAATATCCTTGCATTTTAACAAGTAAATACAAATATTTACATTAAAGGAAACGTTCACTTTAATAACTCTCAGAGGTTGACTAGAGCTCTCTTTTCAACCAAATCTCAGCTGTAAGTTAGCAAATTAGCTCTGAGAGTTTTTGACCTTGTAATTATAAAAAAATGTCACAGAGCCTCTGAACCCATGAGAAGAAAAGACTTTTAAGCAAATGCTTTTTATGAATTCGGAATACAAAATGAACACTTCAAAACATAAATTGCACAGAGACCTTCAATTAACTACAGTGATTGTAAGCCAAAGTGTAATGGAGGCCACTCAAGCACCAGCACATACACATATACGCCCTGACCCACCTTTGAGCAATGCAGTGAGGATGGCAAGGTCAATATCCTGATGACCCTCAGAGCCCATCCGGAAAACTGTTATCTGAGAGACAATGAGAAAGAGAGACAGCAATAAACACAAGTTAGGGTCTGTTTTCCACACCAGCAGAAGGCCCAATGAGTGTCTTTCCGCTAGAATCCTTCTATTGTGCTTCGGCAAGTGCATGAAGGCTTACTGCACAAAGAAAATTCAATCATAAAAATGAATCCAGTGGAGCACTTTCCTTTGTTGGATTAATCTTTTTCACTGAAACCACTGCTTCTGAAGGAGAGGAGAGGACAAGAACTGATTGGGAGTACTGTGCAATACATCGGACTCTTGTTCTATCTCTTGTCTCTCCTGCAAAATACATCAAAAAGCTAAGATCAAGTTGACGTAATGAGGGAAGGGCATGAGGGGATTTATCATGAGGGGATCTGAGAAACAGAAATTCAAGCACAAAAAAAGGAGATATAAATGAAGGGGAAACCCGGTTGCTTATTGCCATAAACCATTTTTTCATGTGGCTTTTGCTTGCTGTGCCAAACAGTTTTTGAGTAAAAAAAAAGACACCTTTTTAAGTACTGAAACACTGCACAATAGAGCTTGGTGGTCTATTTATGCAAAGAAAGAAAGCTAAAGTCACCTAGAAAGGGAAACTGAGGAATCACTCAGCTTCTGTGGATCTTTAAAGCCATATTCTTCTAAGTTGCTGAGCTGCAATAAACATGCAGGTTCATGCATGCATGTGTGGGCACATGCCCCTATATATGTGTGTGAAAGGCACCTTGGGGAAGATTTGTATGGAAGAATATCTGTGTTCTGAATACCTAATGAGCTATTCCTCTAATCCCTACATCCATCCATCTCCTCCCACCTCCATGCCTGCAGTCTCTGCCCAACCCCCTTTCCCTTAATCGCTTCATTTTGCGCAGCTTCAGGAATATGCAGGCTCTGCATTTGCGACCGTTGCTTCCCTTTGGGTGATGCTGCATTATTGTGGGTTAAATCTCCACTTTCTGTGTCGTTTCATAGAGGATGAAGACGCCAAAGACTAGCTGTCTAATCTGTCATTTGTACACAGTCTGTAAGCTGATGGTAGTCTGTCTTGTTTTCTGAGTGAATAAGGCCATTGAGATTATCTCTTATCAAATGTAGATATATCAAACATACAGTTAGTGTGTTTGCAAAATTATGTTTCATTTAATATAGAACAAAAGCTATCCAGACCAATTTAACCTTGCTCCTTCATCATGATACCATGTTGTGCCTCCCTCTTTGGCAACAACTGTTATCAAAAGTATGGACAAAAACTGTCAATACGCAATTTAAATCCCTGCAAAGCCAATTATCTTTGCATGATTGTTTGAATTCGGTCATATCAGAAGTGTTTTGAGAATAATTGACCCATTGAAGGTCACACTACATTGATTAGGCCAGTCCAAAAACTTCACTTTGCTACATTTAGGCTATTTATGCCATTGCTGTTTTTTAGTACTCCCTCACACATCAAGCATGCATGCATTGATAGTGGACCTCCAGCAGAACTAGTCTTGGTGTGAATTGCCTCCTGCAGCAGCTGACTAGAGGTTTGAATAGACAGAGGCAGACACAGAAAAAGAACACAGAAGCCCTAATTAATGCAGACTCTCTATGTTAAAAAAGGTCATGGTAGGACAGCTCCATAGATAGCCTTGTTTAGGGAATAACCAGTTAAGCAGATGAGCTATGTCAAGCATGTCAAACAAATGATTAATAACAGATACTATAAGATTTAATGAAAATGGCACAATTTTTATTGCTGATCATCAGGTTTATAAGGATGAGTATAAAATCCTCATTTGAAAGTGAGTTTGTATTCTTATGATATTTGCTGACATTCAGTTACTTTCAAACCATGTTCATATACCATTGTGATATTCTTTTGATATCAGGTGTACAAATAAATAAAATGGCAGTGTTACAGGATCATGGCCACTCTTTCATTCGTAACTTTTAAGGGGATTTTTGTTCCTGAATGTTTTCTTCTAAATTAGGAAAGATTGGGAAGTTCTTTTTCACAAACATCCCTTTAAATGAATTAGAGGCAGGATGAGGAAATGAGACTCACAAGTGACACGACTGTAAACATTTAGGAAACATTCACTAGGAAATGAGCCATGTTAGCATCAGTTTTCAGTCTGAACTCCAGCTGAAGTTCCTTCCTTGAGTGGAACAGAGATCTGATATCCGGATATTGAGCTCAGTTTTGTCACATTTTGTTTCAACTCATGAGATATTGCTGAAAAATTGCATTTTTTCATGGCAGCAACACTTTCTAATGGATTTTTAGTAGATTTTGGTTGTTTGCTGACTGCAGAAGAATCCATTGCTATCCCTGACAGTTTGAAACAACCGCCTTTTCTTCATCTACCAGTATAGTAAATATGAATTCTTGTATCAAAGCTGTCCAGGGTGTGTATGCAGTGTAAACTGATGCCACATCAGTATGAATATTGGCTCTGAATTGAAACATATTAAGTATATTTGTAGCGGTTTTGGTTCTGTTCAAATTTTATCTTTGAGTTTTCATTTATCTTATTTCCATTTTTGTGTTCTAGTTATTTTTTATTTTATTTGAGTTCTTAGATATTTCTTGTTTGCCCTCTTGCGTCAGTCTCCTTTTCCCCAGCTCCCTTCTTGCCTCTGTTCACACCTGCTCCCAATATGCTTTTTTTCTCTCTCCTATTTATTCTCCTCCTGTTCAGTCACTCTTTGCTGGTTTGTTGTCATTACGTTGTCTCCTTCTTCTTGTGAGTATTCCTGGTTTTCAGCATTTTTGGATTTTTGTGGATTTATGTTTTTGGATTTTTGCTTCTGTTAAACTTTTGTTATTAAACCATCAAGTAACCACCTCAAGCTTTTGTGTCTGCATTTGGGTCCTGTCAAAACCTCCACCTGCACCTTGACAATATTAAGCATAAGTTTGTTCTGGTTTAGATTTTTAATATTTAATCACTCAGTAGCATTACTGTAAGAAGACTTGACATGCATGTGTATTCTTAAAAAAAATCTTACCTCCACTGTATTCCTTTAAAAATCTGTTTTTATGCTGTACACTGGCATTTAATTTATTTTTCATTGCTGGCATAGACATATGATTGAACAGTTCACTAAGAATGATTACAGAAAGTTTTAACATTTGTCTCTTGTTTCTCCACCTATACATGCTTCCAAACAGACAATTTTCTTTTATTTTTTTACCATCAGTTGCAGACAATCATTTTACAGCTCCACCCACACAACCTTACTATGGGACCATCCAATCATCTGCCTTCCTCCCCTTTTCGTTGTCACTGTTCATCCAATTTTATCCAATTACATCCTCAAGGTGACTCTGTTGGTATGGTCTACCTTTTATCACAGAGGATGTGTAGCATATCCTCTGTGACATTGCAATTCAACAGGGTTCATCTTGACGGTCTCAGAAAGACTAATCAATAAACTGGAGCAAAATGTGGAAAGCCTTTTTTTTAACTGTTTGGTCCAAGGCAAAGGAGCTAAAAAGTACTTACTGTAAACAGACAGGTTTACTTCCACGATAGGCAATAAATGTTATCTTCTATGTTGCAGGCATTTCATTTTCATTTTTGAGTTTCACTTAAAAATAGAAATGACGAGAGATTATACAGTAGCATAGAAAATGATCATCCAGACTAAAAAAAGATAAAGGAAGAAGCTATGAATCTAGACTGAAAAGAGTGGTGCTCTCCCTTGTGTTTTGGGTTAGGATTTGTCAGATAATTCCAGCATCATAAGAGGTGCTAATGTAGGAATTACAAAATGCTGCACAGATTGAACCTTCACACTTCACTGGATCAAGCTCATTATAAAACATTTATCTCTTTTTCATAGCAAAGTGCCTCCTAATGTTGAAGCACTTTCATATACAAAAAATGGCCAACATTACACAAGCACTAACACTTATCTAAGCACATAGAGCTTTCTAAAGGCTTGTGTTGGTACCAAAAGGTCAACTCCCACATATCACTAGATCGGCTTTGATACTGAGAACAATGTGTAAAAAAAATAATGTAGAATCATTTGTATACATGTTATCAGGGGTAAACTGTCAACATTTTTCTTCCACTCAGCCAAATGGAAAAAGAGTTGCTTCCCTGCTGATAATGAGAGGTTTTCTCCTTGAATCTCTGCTTGTAGCTTTATCTCTGTGCTGTAGCTCAATTTTTCCTTTGTCCTCCCTCCCCCAACTCACTGTGCATTTAAGTCAGTCATTCCTTTCCTCCTCTTCCTCCAACTCCTTCGTAGTTTCTCCTGTCAGGAAGGCTGAGGAGCTCTGTGGGCTGGTGGATTCTCTTCAATATTTAATCCAAATTAAACATATAAAGATGTTTCTATGTTAAATTATTTATAGTACACTCTGAAATGCCAACATGGCCATCTTGTGCCCTCCACCCCCACTCATAATGTGGGGGAGAGGGTGGAGAGAACCGTCAATAGTTTTGTAATTGGACAGAAAAATGGCTTCCTACATTTTTGGCAGCAGCCGTTGACTGTGGTAATTTTGAAAGGAGTCCAGTCTTGCAGAGAGTGACTATTTCTACAAGACAATTACGATGAGGACATGAATCAAATGTACCAGTATAGAAATATAATCTCTATTATTAATCAGTGTAGTTGAAAAAAAAAATATGAAAAATGTACACTGCAATTGCATAGAATAAAAAATTTTTTTTTTTTTTTCCCCTTTAAAGGTATAGTGGAGGATTGTCACAAATGTTTGAAAAGACCCGCCATCTCCACTTAAAGAAAAAGCACATGCACAGCCATGTACCCGCTCCCAGGAGGGAACGCCTAATAAATAAACAAGCCCATTTCTCCTCGTGCACATGCTTTTTAAAAGTCAATCCCTGCCTGCCTGAGAATTGCCGTGGGTACGGAAAGTATTCACAGCCCTTTAAATTTTTCACTCTTTGTTTCATTGCAGACATTGAAACAAATGGATAAAATGAAACAAAAATTGAAAAATGTAAACGGGTCTGAATACTTTCCTTAACCACTGTACATGCATACATACATATGTGCATATATGTACTCAGCTGCCAGCTGGCCTGGCCTCTGCATCAAAAGGAGTCAGTTGAGGGGGTTTGGGTATCTGATCATCTGATCTCACTTTGGAGATTTTCTGAGCACAACGAAATGGAAAGAGACTTCTTTGAATGCCTAGAATACTCTGGAGAGATTATATATCCCATCTGTTCTGGAAACTTTGGGATCCTCTAATATTTAAAAAACAAAGCCAAGATAAAAATGCAAGGGGACTTCATGTAAAAACATTGCCAGGTTGTTCTTCTCATTTTTTCATCTAGTTGTTATTCCGGTGATAAGGAAAGATCAATAAAAATATATAAACTATAAAATTTAAAACAGTGAAACAAGTCCTAAGGAATTATCAGTGATGGACATTACTTAATCTGTCTTATTAAATTTAACTCGTGAACACTATCAAAAGTTGTTTTGTGAGAAGTTTCAAGTAAATGCCCCTTGTTAAATAAAGTCATCTGCAACGATTTGTTTCTAAATGAATTTAACAAAAGCTTAAAAGAACAGTAATGACCTTGCTTTGGGCCCTGTTACACCTTAGCAATGTAGACAGTGTATTCCTGACGTCCCAGAATCTCCTAAAACGCTGGCATACACTGAACTTTCTATGTATCTTTTTTTACTTTGGCCATATTCATGGCGTATCCATAACGAGTCCAGAGCATATCCAACAAGGCGAACTTATGCATAATGCGCGGCAGCGTAATTCCCATAAAATAATGCACAAGCCAGTGTCCTGAGGGGAACAGCAATGCGCCCGAAGGTGACCGACCTGACTAAAAAGATTTATTTGATTGTGGTATTAACCTAGCTGCTGATTATCGCCTGCCAAAAAAAAAAGAAAGAAAGAAAGAAAAAGAAAGGTTTGCAGTCGCAGCAGATTCCGCGTTATGTCTGCTGGGAAATTTGTTTATATGGCAGCTATACATTGGAAAAATGTTTAGCGTCATCTGGAACACGTCAAATACGTTGATATGCTTTGGAGATAAGTTCTTGATAAGTTACGCATAGGTTATGCACAAGTTACGCATAGGTTATGCACAAGTTACGCATAGGTTTTGCATAAGCTAGACACCATGACTTGAGTAACTTACACTTAACTTATTTCAATGATCAGATGACTTACCTGTAACTTATGCTCCACATATGAGCATGCTGGCATACGTTGGGAAATTGTGAGTATGCTCAAAATTTCTCAATGTACTCACCATATGTCGATGTGCGCTAGTGTTTCAGCGTGCTTCAGCATACTTCAGGGTGCTCATAACTCATACAAAACATACGCATAACTTATCCAATGTATGCCAGCATTTTTGCCAGATTTTCCATATGTCAGGCATACGGTGTCTAAATCGTCAAGGTGTGACACAGGCGCAGTAGTGGAGGACAAAAAAACTGTGTTCATGTAGCAAATTCTTAGATTTCTCCACTCCAAATAAGCCACAACTTTTAAAACATATGCAAAGCATATGCTTTCTGAAAAAGTTATAGAATTACCTGCCAAAGGGATGCCAGAGCATTTTTTTCTTACCTTGGTTCTGAGCTTCTGAGCTTGTATCATACCAGAACAGGAGGATTTAACATTGTATTTTGTGCTCCAATACCAATACTTAAAAACGATATTTATTTAAAACCTAAAGGTCAAGAGATAATGACGGCTGAATATGTCTAATCATTTACACACCTTGACCATCCTTGTGCATGCAATATACTGTGCATCTGAAGAACAGATGTGTGGTTTATATTCTTGACTTTTTGTTGTGACTAGATTTGATTTACAGTCAGATTATTGTACTGTACAGGAATGAGCACCCACTTCAGTAATTTTATAAATAACAATCCTATTTCATCAGTATTACCTAGTACCTATTCATGGAAAAACATCAGCATCTTTCGGTACCTAAATGCATCTTTACTACATGAAGGGAGTGGAAGAGTGGGAAACTTTCCATACAGAAGTGCATGGTAACATCAGAAGCCATTGGAACAGTAAATAAACAATGCAATCAAGGCTGAATAGGGCACAGATCTATAGCTTAAACTCCTGCATACCATGCAGTTGTAATGCCTGCCTTCCTTTAGCCGTTCATCATCTGCAGCCATTAAACTTTGGTGAGGCACCTGGATAATCACCTTTATCTTCTTCATGTTCAAAATGATTTTAGCATGGTATCAAAAATAGCCACTGTTGAGTACCAACACCAGATCCCTGATCCTGGGCATTGGTACTGTATCAATTAAAATATTAACAGTAGGTATCCCTATAACTGGGCCTGCTGTTTGGATTTTGGCCTTTGGAATGAGATATGAATAGATGTGCTCTAAAACTATATTAATTCCATTATCGCTATGAATAAATAACTTTTAAATAGAGTTGTGTGTTGAATGTTCTAACTTCACCAGGCTATGCATCACTGATGTTAATAATGGATTTCCTAAGAATCAATTTCAATGACATTGGTTACATTCTTGTTTTGCGCAGAAAAAAAACAGTATCAGATTATCTGAGCTCACAGCTGCTCCTGCTCAATGATTCACGCTCCGCTGTTCTCCTGCTCTTGTATATGTACTTCAGAAGCTCTGTCAGCTTGAGCATCCGACAGTCACTGGGATCCAACAGAGGGTGAAATCTGTACATTTACATGCTGCACAGCTATGACCAATTCAAGTAACACAAAATTGACTATCTGTAAAACTGTAGCTTGACGTATTTTGTGTGCTTTGTTTCTGGGATTATGAGATATTACTGATAAAAAAGCAGAACCACAAAAGAGACGCACTGACCTAAAATTGATAACGGTAAAGACTGTAAGTCATGTACAGCTCGAATATCATATTTTTTTAAATACATGCATTATTCTTTTAGAGCCTTTAGAGGAATCCAGCTATGCATTGTATTGAAACATTCCCTTTTAAGGAAAATGTTGAGGTTTTGTATTTGTAGCTTATTAACAGATAAATGCCACAATCAGCCAACATTACTAAATGTCCCTGAGCAAGCAAATTATTTCCAAAACACTTGAATTACAACACGCCTGTGTAAAAGGCAAAAAGCAGCGTATACATTAATATTGCTGCAGAGTGAAGACACAGCGACAGCTGCAGGCATTTTCTGTACCATAAAGAAGGAATCATGTTATCTGTACAAGAAGAATGCTGCATGTGGGTGTGATAGAAAACTATACAGTATGCATCACTGCAGTGTTCTGGTATGTTTAAAGTTAAGTTTGCAGTGTTTAGGTTTAATGCTCTTAAAAACAGGCTTCATTTAAAGTTAATGCGTTGTCATTGTGTTTATTTCATGTATTTGTTATATTAATATTTAAACACTGAGGTGATGCTTACCCAACTTTTTTACATGGATATATGTTTTAGTATATTACTTAAAATGTTAGACTGGCAGAAAATAAAAAGGTTAAAAATCTGTATCATTACTAATAAAGTATTTTACAAAGCAAAATGTAAATTTGTTGTTATGTCTAGATGTAAGATTTACAACTGTAGTTTAAGTGCTTCTACAAAGTAATCAGTCAGTGGAGTGATAATTATTGATAAAAAATGTTGAAAGCTGTGTTTCCTGTCTTTTTCTCCCTTATTTCGAACCTATAAAAACCCAGTGAAAGCCAGTTGATGATGTTAAAGCAACAAATCATGTGTTTGAGCAGAAAAAAATCCATGTCAAATGTATTAAACATGTAACATGAGAACCAAATTGTAAACTGAAATAGCCCTGAAGGATCTGAGTTACCCCCCTGCCATAATACACCTTTTACTAAATGAGCAACATGACCACATGTTCTGTTTTGAGTAAATTATTGCCACAGGGAGTCAAGGTACAGGTGAAATTTATCTCAACTGTCATCTGAATGCATTTACATCTGCTTAACATACACAAAAGACATTATGATAACAGCTTTAGACTAAGTTTCATGATCAGTAAGCTTAATTTGTACACCTTACTTTGTTATGCATTGGTATATTCATCCACCACACTATAATGTTTAAGTCATCAGGGACAGTAGCGTTTGCAGGTTAATGTTTGATGACCTGATGTGTGTCAGACTTTGCTTGTGCTTATTATTCCATTTAAGCACAGGTTGTTAGACTGCTTTTACTGCATCTGCTTGCATGAATATGCATGTACAAGGTCCTGTAATTGTGTTTGTAAGGAGCAAGGTTCTGCATGTGCTTACATGTAAAGAGCCTGACTTGAAAAAGAACAACTAACCAGTTCCTTTTTCTTCATGCACTCCATGAGGATGATAAACAGATGTTGGGCCTGTGTGCGGCTGTAGGTGAAGGTCTTCTGGATGGTCACCAGCAGCTGGTCTCTGAGGGACTCATTAATTATGCTACAGAGAGAGGAGTGAGAAAGATAGGAAGTTTGTGTTAGCAGCGTCAGATAGTTGGCTGTGGAAAGACATCAATACTAAATTGATTCATCACTAAATGAAACCGGGGTTGAGTGGGAATATGAGTCTAAAGTGAGATGTTAAATTAATGTTATGTGATTAAATATAAGAAGCTACCATTGTTAGTTTATTTCAGAAATAAAATTGATAAAATATAGTTATGAATTATATGTGAATGATGTTTAATTACCTTTACTGTATGTGTAAATAAATAGCTCAGTATAAACTGCAACAGGAAGCAAATTATTAATCTACTCCAAATGTGGTGAATATGGTAATTATCACAAAAAAATTGTAAAACTGATTTATCCCTGTAACAATAAGTCCAACTTTAAACGATTTATCCTAGTAATAATGCTATATGTACAGATGTGAGTGCATACCCTCCCTCCTCTGAGTATTTGTGACCAAAGGCCAAGATATCTGAGGCCCTCCCGCTGCCATCACACACGACCACAGGGACCGGAGGAGTGTCCCTGAGGTATTCCAGCACTATGGAGATCACATTAGGGCCTCCCTCCACGATAAGAGCCACAACGGGTACGCCCTGGCCAATCCCTGCACATAGGAAACAAAGGATGAGAAACAAGAGATGTTTTAGGGAGCGAAGAATGTAGAAGAGATAGAATGAAAAAGAAATAGAAATCCAAATGTTTAAAGATGCAGATTGAAAAATAAAGATGTCATTTATTCTCCAAGAATGAATCTGTTGATAATGTTGTTTTTTTGTTTTGTATTTGCAGCAATAAGATAAAAATAAAATACCTGTTTTACTGTTAAAACACTAAGGTAAATAGAAAGATTATAAATTAGAAAGGTATTCTTTCAGATGTTGTTATTACAAGAGAGTCTCATCAATTGCAGTAACTGCAATAAATGGCCACTGGGACTAAAAGAGTTTCATGCAAAATTGTTAGTTTCAATTATCTGATCACAAGAGGATTGAGTTTTTTTTTTTGCCGATTGACACTATGATTAGCATGCATGTAAATGCAGGATCAAGTTATTCTGAATGAGTCAAGCTGAGCATGCAACGTCACATATTTCAGCTTAAAATGACCAGATTCCTGTAAGATGCTAATAGAGTATTCTGATCAACATGTTTACATAATTCATATTTAGTCTAATGAGCTGTTTTTGTTCCAAGTATTTATGTCTGTATAAACGGTGCGATTTGATTGTTTTTATTTTTTGAGTTTGTACGGCACTAGTGGCTTGTTTTTCTGACAGTAGGCTGACAGGAAAGGGGGTATGTTTGAGGGACAGACATGCAGCAAAGGACCACAGGCCAGATTCGAACCTGGGTCGTGCGCGTCGAGGTCTAAGGCCTCCGTACATGGGTCGTGCGCAGTAACCACTGCTCAAATCCACACGCTAGCTTTTGTTTTTCTAATCTGAATACATTTCAATCTGAACATGAAAAATTTGCATTTAAACATTGCTTTGTGACAGAAATAATACATATTTTTGATAAAACTTAAATGTTTAAGAGGAAAAGGAGAAACTGTCCACTTTAAGACAATGGTACCACATGAGTGCATAACTCAGACTTAGACACAGCTTTATTTATGCCTTGGGAATACTCCTCAGGGAAACTCTGGTTCCTTATATAGACTTATATAGACTACAAAGGGCTAAGTTAAAGCAAGATGCCATTTAAGATCAAAGTAAAACAGAAAATTAAAAAGAGTGCATATAAAACAAAAAACGCATAAAAGGTTGTAATGTCCTGTAATATTTTCCTTTAGATATACAAATACCTGCACAGTAGAGAGTTAAGGGAAGACTGCGCAGAAATTGACTTGGATTATTGTACTTGCACTGCAGAAATGTACAGACCATATAAATAAGTAAAAATTATACAGACTACACGGTAGTTGACTTGGATTATTGCACTTGTACTGCAGAGATTTACTAACCTTATAAAAAAGTACTATATAACACTGGCTACACAGTAGTTGGCATGTGTTATTACTAGTGTTGCACCGATATCGATACCAGTATCGGACGGGGCCCCGATACTGCCCTAAAATGGTATCGGTATCTGCGAGTACCAACAAATAGGGCACCGATATCATTTTGAGAGCCATAAGCTTATTCAACTATTGTCACCCACTCCTGGTAGGCTATAAAAAGTTCTACTGGATTCACTTTGTATTAGATTTTTTCCTGCTTCACAAAGGTAGGCAGCAGCTTGACAAAGCCATGATGGCAATTATTTTATATTATTATGGTATCGGTATCGGCCGATACTGCACAGCCAGGTATCGGGTATCGGTATCGGGGCCAAAAAATGGCATCTGTGCAACACTAGTTATTACAAAGTGAGAGAGAAGAATATTGCACGACTGACAATAGGTCATGTTTTGCAGAAGAGGTCCAAGGAGGGGGTTGCTGACCCTTGTCCCTCCCCCTATCACCTACTCCTTTCCCCAAGTGAGGAGTTCTACAGCTTGATGGTTTGAGGAACAAAGGACTTCAGCAGTCTGTTGGTCCTGCATTTGGGGAGGAGCAATCTTCCACTGATCACCACTCTGAGTGGTGAAGGCAGTCTGCAGAGGGTGGCTATGACCAGCTCCTTCGTCTTGATGTTGAGCTCAAGGTGGTTGGTGCGGCAACAGGTGGCCCCCACCAGACTCCTCCTCTCTGTTGTCCCTAATACACCCCACAATGGCTGTGTCATCTGCGTACTTCTGTATGCGACACAGCTTAGAGTTGTAACAGAGGTGTATAAGGTGAAGAGGATCTTTTTTTCTAAGAAACAAAACTTCTTACCAGAGGACAGGAGAGAGAACAGTCCATGACAGAAGTGGGAAGGGTTTTATATGACCATGATATAATTCCCTGAATCACACAATAAATGCCAAAATATGTGTAAATAATATTAAACCAGTATACAATAGTGTTAATTAAAAATATATATTATTAGTATGCCACTGATGGAGTGATAAATCAAATAAACATGAACATTTTATTTTATTTATGAAAAATAAATAATCAATAATAACTATTATTATTTAAAAATACTCTAAAGAGATTTCTTAAAACATTTGAGAAATGATCCTGAGGTTGTTCTTCTGAAAGATCATCATAATAAATATTTCAGAGAAATCAGAAGTGGCTTAAATATGATTCTTCAAGATAAGGCTTTACAACACCTAAAGATTATATTTTCAAGGTTTTCTTTCTAGTTTATGACACATTTCTGAATCTTTTGAAGCTTTAGTTTATGGCAGAAGTACAGAAGTTAAATCACTAATTATAAGTAACATTAAAGCATAGTGCATTAATAGCATTTGAAACTTAAATAAAAGGATTTTGCTCAAAGCTATTTCAAATTCTAATCTCCTCTACTGTATGCATTTTAGTTCCCATTACTCAAGTGAAATTTCTAAAAGGCGTGTAAGCCATAAAGTTCATTTCTGTCACCCCTCTTTAGGGGCCCCACTGAGATCAAGCAATGTTCCCAACATCAAGCTGTCCTGCTCTCTTCTGCTCTCTTTATTTTTTTATCAAATTTTCCCTTCGGCAGCCATCCACCTTTTTATCCACTCTCTCCCTTTCTGGTTCACATATACTTGTATTTTATGCTGCCTGTTTGTCTATTCTAATTCAAAAGCCATGTAACTGCCTTATCTTCCCCTCGTGCACCCTCATTCTGGTCTGCATAATTCACAGAAGAGAGAGGGGGATATCACCAGCACACAAATGCATGCCTACTGTATACACGCACAAGGGGATGTGGGCACTCCTATTCGGGATTGCACCCACGAATATGCTGCGTCTCACACAGCCTTGTGTGGCCTTGCAACAGGGACAGTTACATAAGGAGAATATTTTAAGGGGTCTTGCTTACTTCAAAGAGGTACCACATCACTATGCTGTGGTACATCACATAGCCATGCATCAACAGAGCAGGATGTGAGTTGTGACTCGCGTTTTGTTATTTGATACCCCCATTCCTTTGTATGTCTGCAATCTGCTTTTTTCTACATATGAGGTTGCAGCTGTGGAAGATCAAACATTGATATTGATGACTTTGGAGCTTTGGAGGCAATGTTGTAGTAACTAAAGTGGATTTTTGTTCAACTGAAACCCACCGAGGAGCAGATGAGGAGGAGAAAGCACAGCTGTGTCATAGCTAATTGGGAAAAAGGAAACTGCCAGTGTGCATACAAACACACACACGACAGAAGTACATTTACAGTCATACAAATATATATATATATATATATATAAAGGTGAAATACATTAAAACTGATTCTTTCATAAATTGCTTCAAAAAGCTCAAAGCTGCATTTTCCACACAAACTGACAATTTTTTTTTTTTTTTTTTTTTAAATCTTCTGGATGTTTTTCTGTGCATTTTGGCTCACTGGGGAATATTTGATTTCTGGTTGTTGTTGTTTATAAATTTTCGTTTTGCTATTTTACTAAGGATGTTATAATATTGAATTTTATTGATGAAAAAGGCATAATATGCCTTTGGAAATGTCTCGCTGGGCACCCCACCATGGCAGCCCACTGCTCCCCTAGGGGATGGGTTAAATGCAGAGGTAAATTTCACCAATGTGAGATTAAGTAAGACTCAAATTTCAATTATTATTATTATTGTTATTATTATTATTATTATTATTATTAATAATATTATTATTATTATTAACCAAATAATCTGTAGAAAACTGAGATTTAGTTAGAGAAAACAAAACCCTCATAAAATCCCTGGTAACAATTCTGATTATGTAATAGTCGACCCTGATGACAGACACCTTTATTTACCATTAACCTTTATATACAATTTTACACAGAATATATATATATATATATATATATATATATATATATATATATATATATATATATATATATATATATATATANACTGTTTCAATTTAATCATTTCATATTAACAGTGAGTGATTGTTAAGTGGGTCATTTGTAGGTTTGGAAATGTTTATTGTAACGGTAAGATAAACCTAACTTTTTGTCTTTCTGTTATGATGGCGTCAATTTTCCTGAAACCGAGTGTCACTCAGTTTTTGAAATAAACTAATTAGGTACTAATTTGTTTAATGATCTGAGTCTTTAGGCTTAAACTAGTCCTTTATTACTTTTAAACATGCTAAAGGCTGGGGGTCATAAAAAAAGAAAGAAAAAACAACTTTGAATAAAGTACAGCAACTAATATAGTTATTGTTAAAAGTTACCAAGGGGGTTTGTATTGGTGTGTTGCTTCATTATTTTTCTGAGTGATATTCTTTTGCTTCTCATTACAGGCCCAATCTTTCTTTATGTTTTACTCTGAAATGTAATCCCCAGATATCTAAGGCCTAATTGTTAAAAATTTTCAATTCATGGTCGAGAGCTGCAGTGGATGATTAGCGATGAATACAGATTGCCTAAACCCACAACCCTGGTATGTCAACAGTGAATTTTTAATTTGGAAAGCTTATTTCCCAAATGAGCTCACTACAAGAAAGACTTTAAGCTATGATACTGATAAAGACTTTTACCTTAAGAAATCTCATAGAACTGAGGCATTGCTGTGAGTCTACATA